TGGCATGTATGCACACACAGGCACACACACACTCCATGGCATGTGCACACACTCCATGGCATGTGCACACACACACACACACACTCCATGGCATGTGTGCACACACAGGTGCACACACACACACACTCCATGGCATGTGCACACACACACACACTCCATGGCATGTGTGCACACACAGGCACACACATACTCCATGGCATGTGCACACACACAGGCACACACATACTCCATGGCATGTGTGCACACACAGGCACACACATACTCCATGGCATGTGTGCACACACAGGCACACACACTCCATGGCATGTGTGCACACACAGGCACACACACTCCATGGCATGTGCACACACAGGCACACACACTCCATGGCATGTGCACACACAGGCGCGCACACACTCCATGGCATGTGCACACACTCCATGGCATGTGCACACACACACACACACTCCATGGCATGTGCACACACAGGCACACACACACTCCATGGGATGTGTGCACACACAGGCACACACACACACTCCATGGCATGTGTGCACACACAGGCACACACACTCCATGGCATGTGCACACACAGGCACACACACTCCATGGCATGTGCACACACAGGCGCGCACACACTCCATGGCATGTGCACACACTCCATGGCATGTGCACACACACACACACACTCCATGGCATGTGCACACACAGGCACACACACACTCCATGGGATGTGTGCACACACAGGCACACACACACACTCCATGGCATGTGTGCACACATAGGAACACACACACTCCATGGCATGTGTGCACAAACAGGCGCACACACACACACTCCATGGATGTGCACACACAGGCGCACACACACACACTCCATGGCATGTGCACACACAGGCGTGCACACACACACTCCATGGCATGTGCACACACAGGCACACACACACTCCATGGGATGTGTGCACACACAGGCACACACACACACTCCATGGCATGTGCACACACAGGCGCACACACACACACTCCATGGCATGTGTGCACACACAGGTGCACACACACACTCACACACTCCATGGCATGTGCACACACAGGCACACACACACTCCATGGGATGTGTGCACACACAGGCACACACACACACTCCATGGCATGTGCACACACAGGCGCACACACACACACACTCAATGGCATGTGCACACACAGGCGTGCACACACACACTCCATGGCATGTGTGCACACACAGGTGCACACACACACTCACACACTCCATGGCATGTGCACACATAGGAACACACACACACTCCATGGCATGTGCACACACAGGCACACACACACTCCATGGGATGTGTGCACACACAGGCACACACACACACTCCATGGCATGTGCACACACAGGCGCACACACACACACTCCATGGCATGTGTGCACACACAGGTGCACACACACACTCACACACTCCATGGCATGTGCACACACAGGCACACACACACTCCATGGGATGTGTGCACACACAGGCACACACACACACTCCATGGCATGTGCACACACAGGCGCACACACACACACACTCAATGGCATGTGCACACACAGGCGTGCACACACACACTCCATGGCATGTGTGCACACACAGGTGCACACACACACTCACACACTCCATGGCATGTGCACACATAGGAACACACACACACTCCATGGCATGTGCACACACAGGCACACACACACTCCATGGGATGTGTGCACACACAGGCACACACACACACTCCATGGCATGTGCACACACAGGCACACACACACTCCATGGCATGTGCACACACAGGCGCGCACACACTCCATGGCATGTGCACACACTCCATGGCATGTGCACACACACACACACACTCCATGGCATGTGCACACACAGGCGCGCACACACTCCATGGCATGTGCACACACTCCATGGCATGTGCACACACACACACACACACTCCATGGCATGTGCACACACAGGCGCGCACACACTCCATGGCATGTGCACACACTCCATGGCATGTGCACACACACACACACACACACACACTCCATGGCATGTGCACACACAGGCACACACACTCCATGGCATGTGCACACACACACACACACACACACTCCATGGCATGTGCACACATAGGAACACACACACACTCCATGGCATGTGTGCACAAACAGGCGCACACACACACACTCCATGGCATGTGTGCACACAGGCGCACACACACACACTCCATGGCATGTGCACACACAGGCGCACACACACACACTCCATGGCATGTGCACACACAGGCGCACACACACACACTCCATGGCATGTGCACACACAGGCGTGCACACACACACTCCATGGCATGTGCACACACAGGCACACACACACTCCATGGGATGTGTGCACACACAGGCACACACACACACTCCATGGCATGTGCACACACAGGCGCACACACACACACTCCATGGCATGTGCACACACAGGCGTGCACACACACACTCCATGGCATGTGTGCACACACAGGTGCACACACACACTCACACACTCCATGGCATGTGCACACATAGGAACACACACACTCCATGGGATGTGTGCACACACAGGCACACACACACACTCCATGGCATGTGCACACACAGGCGCACACACACACACACTCCATGGCATGTGCACACACAGGCGTGCACACACACACTCCATGGCATGTGTGCACACACAGGTGCACACACACACTCACACACTCCATGGCATGTGCACACATAGGAACACACACACACTCCATGGCATGTGCACACATAGGAACACACACACACTCCATGGCATGTGCACACACACACACACACACTCCATGGCATGTGCACACACACAGGCACACACACACTCCATGGGATGTGTGCACACACAGGCACACACACACACTCCATGGCATGTGCACACACAGGCACACACACACTCCATGGCATGTGCACACACAGGCGCGCACACACTCCATGGCATGTGCACACACTCCATGGCATGTGCACACACAGGCACACACACTCCATGGCATGTGCACACACAGGCGCGCACACACTCCATGGCATGTGCACACACTCCATGGCATGTGCACACACACACACACACACACACTCCATGGCATGTGCACACACAGGCACACACACTCCATGGGATGTATGCACACATAGGAACACACACACACTCCATGGCATGTGTGCACAAACAGGCGCACACACACACACTCCATGGCATGTGCACACACAGGCGCACACACACACACACTCCATGGCATGTGCACACACAGGCGTGCACACACACACTCCATGGCATATGTGCACACACACAGGTGCACACACACACACTCACACACTCCATGGCATGTGCACACATAGGAACACACACACTCCATGGCATGTGTGCACACATAGGAACACACACACACTCCATGGCATGTGTGCACACATAGGAACACACACACACTCCATGGCATGTGTGCACAAACAGGCGCACACACACACACTCCATGGGATGTGTGCACACACAGGCACACACACACTCCATGGCATGTGTGCACACATAGGAACACACACACACTCCATGGCATGTGTGCACAAACAGGCGCACACACACACACTCCATGGGATGTGTGCACACACAGGCACACACACACACTCCATGGCATGTGTGCACACATAGGAACACACACACTCCATGGCATGTGTGCACACATAGGAACACACACACACTCCATGGCATGTGCACACATAGGAACACACACACTCCATGGCATGTGTGCACACATAGGAACACACACACACTCTATGGCATGTGTGCACAAACAGGCGCACACACACACTCCGTGGCATGTGTGCACACACAGGTGCACACACACATCAATTTAAAAAGAGCACATTCGTGATTGAGTGGAGGGTCATAGAAGCTAAGGAAACGTTTGAGATTAGAGGGAAAGGGAGAGTTCTAGAGTCGGAGATGTTCTAGAAAGACACGGTGGTATAACTCGGTAGACACATGCTTAGCATGCAGAAGACCCTGAGCCCCAAACGGTGTTCCTGTTGTGACAAACCTCTTGGCGTTATGTGTCGCGCCAGTGTCTCACCCCCTCATTGCCAGGAAACGTCAACTCCGCCCACTCAAACCCCGCCCCCAGGGTCTCACTGTGTAATCCTGGCTGCCCTGGAACTATAGACCAGGCTGGCTTTGAGCTCACGGACGTCCTCCTGCCTCTGCCTCCTAGGTGTTGGGATTAGAAGTGTGTGCCACCGTGCCATCAGCCCCACTGTAATTTTTTAAAAGCGTTTTTATTCGTGCGTGTTTAGGATGTACGTGCACCTGCATATACTTACTTGACGGGAGCTTAGGGGCCAAGGTTGGGAGTTTTCCCCACTGGCTCTGGGCCTCGTCTCATTTCCACCTCCCCCAGCGCTGGCTTGTAGACATCCACAGTGGCTTTTACACAGGCGCAGGGCCTGCCCAGCAAACTCTGCCCCCTGAGCATCTTTCCAGCCCCAGTTGGGCCTTTGTAACGAAATTCAGTAGGAAAAGCGGAACGTTTTTATCTCTGGTGTGATGTGTATGTGTGTACACGTGTATGTGTGTGAACACATGTGCTCCATGGCATGAGTGTGTTGGACAGGATAACCTCAGGTGTAGGTCTTGGCTGTCCTAGACCTCTCTCTGTAGACCAGCCTGGCCCCGAACTCACAGAGATCCGCCTGCATCTGTCTCCCTTGTACTGGGATTAAAGGTGTGCGCCACCAACGCCCAGCTCTATGACTCCAGCCCCTAGCTTGGATATTCTTGCTGCAACATAATTCTTAGGAGAATAGTTTATTTTGTAATCTAGAAGCTATTAAAGTCTAGAAATAGCAGCTTCCTATAAATGGTTACACATGGAGTTGTAAGTGAGCGGCAATTCATTATGTTTAAGCAGTGACATTTTCCGTAACTCATCATACTCTTCTCTCTCTTTTTTTTTTCATTCACTTACTTTTTTGTTTTCCAGGCGAAAGACCAAAGAAACCCGTTCCTCTTCAGGACCAGACTGTCAGGGATGAGAAAGGAAGGTATAAGCGCTTTCATGGAGCCTTTAGTGGCGGCTTCTCCGCAGGATACTTCAATACTGTTGGCTCAAAGGAAGGTATGGTGCTGCAGAGACCAGAGGCTCGCTCAAGCATGTGGATGATGGAGGTTCCCCTCTGAGGTTTTGTTTGTGTAGCTCAGGCTGGCCCGGAACTCGAGTCTCAGCCTCCCGAGTGCTGGGGTGACAGGCATGAGCTGCCACGTCCAGATCCCCTCCTGACTGACCTTGTTTAAACACTTTGGAGCACTCAACCATAGAACACAGAGATGTTCTGTGAATGTCTGGGGGGCTCCCAGAGTTGACGATGTAAGTGCTGGTGGAAGTCAAGAACTCTGCTTCTATGTTGCGGAAAATGGGGAGATGACAGCAGGTGGCTACAACCAGATAGTGACTTCCATTTCATCTGGCTTTGCCCCAAGTCCCCTCAGGCAGGCTCACAGGCTCGCAGCTAATCACTGCCTGCCTCCTCTGCCTCAGCAACTAAGAAGGACAAGTGTCGCAGGTGTTTTGCAGATGAGGCAGCTGGGGTCATAGAGGTTAAGGAGCCAGAATAGCATCAGAACTGCCCAGGAACCACCCGCCACAGGACTGTGACACGTCAGCTACTGCCTGCTCATGACCTGGAGAAAAAGAAATTAAAATGTCACACTAGATAGTCTTAGCGGTTCTATAGTTAAAGTAATACACACTGTTTTCTTTCTTTTCTTTTCTTTCTTTCTTTTTTTGAGACAGGGTCTCACTGTATAGACCAGGCTAACCCAGAACTCACTCTGCAGACCGGGCTGGCCGTAAACTCACAGAGCTCCACCTGCTCAGCCTCCCGAGTGCTGAGATTAAAGGCGTGTGCACCACCAACCCCCAGCATGATTTCTTATTCAGGTCCTGGGGATAGAACCCAGGACCTCACTGAGCTAAGTCCCTAGTCCCCACACTGCAAACTGGAGGCTAGTCTGGTGACCAAGCGAGTTCCTGGCTGGCCGGACCCCATCTTATTAAACAAAAGCAAGCAAGCAGCAGTTGTAGATGGCTGACAACCATCTACAATTCAATCTGGTGTATATGTAATAAATAAATAAATCTTAAAAAAAAAAAGATACCATCTAGGATCGTAAGAGTCTCAATTCCTTTCCTTCCAGGATGGACACCCTCTACCTTCGTGTCTTCAAGACAGAACAGGGCAGATAAGTCTGTTCTTGGACCTGAAGATTTTATGGATGAAGAGGTAGGTCAGGCCGTGACACGGCGTCCTTGCTTGTGGTACCTTCCCTCCACCCAGAAGGCACGGTAGAAGCTTTCCTCCTCGTGCTAAGACCCCTCCTCATGCTAAGGCCTTTTCTTGTAGATGTTTGTGATGCTGTGCCCTGCATACCAATGGTGTCTCCCTCACTCAAGTAGTGTCTGTGCTGGGGACAGTGTCTGCAGTCAGGAATGTCACGTACAAGTGAATGTCCTCGAAGTTGCCCTAACTCAGTATCCGTGGTGCTGAGCCTGTGGCTTTTCAGTCACCCCGAAGCACCCTGTGGTTTAAGGAACCGAGAGTTAGGCTAAAATGAAGCCTAGGCACGGATTCACTTACGAGCCCATTGAGTGCAATGCACCGGTAAAGCCGTATTCTACCAGGAGGAGGAAAAGGAGGCCTTTAAACCAAAACAGCGGAGTCTTGCTATGTAGCTTAGGTTGGCTCTGAACTTGCAACCCCTCTGCCTCAGCCTCCTCTAGTGCCAGGATCACAGGCAAGGGCCATCACATCCGACTTCTCTCTTTAGGTTTTTATTATTTATTTCATGTGTATGGCTCTTTTGTCTGCATGTATGTATGCACACCAGAAGAGGGCATCGGATTGCACGGAACTGCAGCTACAGATAATTGTCAGCTGCTATCTATGTGGGTGCTGGGAATTGAACCCAGGTCCCCTGGAAGAGTAGCCAGTGCTCTTAACCACAGAGTCTTCTCTCCAGCCCCCAGAGACTGACTCTCTCTCTCTCTCTCTCTCTCTCTCTCTCTCTCTCTCTCTCTCTCTCTCTTATATCTACAGTAAAGTGATCTCTTTAAAACTTTGCTGTTGTGTATGTCTTAGTACAAGTGCATTTGTTGAGTGTGAATGTTAGTACAAGTGCATTTGTTGAGTGTGTGTTAGTACAAGTGCATTTGTTGAGTGTGTGTTAGTACAAGTGCATTTGTTGAGTGTGTATGTAGTACAAGTGCATTTGTTGAGTGTGTATGTTAGTACAAGTACATTTGTTGAGTGAGTGTTAGTACAAGTGTATTTGTTGTGTGTGTATTCGTACAAATGCATTTGTTGAGTGTGTGTTAGTATAATTGCATTTGTTGAGTGTGTGTTAGTACAAGTGCATTTGTTTTGTGTGCATAAATGAATTAATTCTGTTTACTTTTCTTCTTTGCAGGATCTTAGTGAATTCGGAATAGCACCTAAAGCAATCGTTACCACAGATGACTTTGCTTCCAAAACCAAAGACAGAATACGGGAGAAAGCCAGGCAGCTGGCAGCCGCCGCAGCCCCTATTCCCGGAGCCACGCTGCTTGATGACCTCATCACGCCAGCAAAGTGAGAGGGGTTTCATTTCTGGCCTTGGCGCTTTGTACACGTGTGGGGATCTTCCCCAGGGGTAGCTCGGCTACAGGCACAGATGTTGTCTGACTGGGAGGCCAAGGGAAGGAGGGGTTTCACTCGGGACGTCTCCTTTGACCACTGCAATGGAATCCTCTAGAGCTCCAGCTACCTGCCGGCCACTGGGGTTCGTGGCTGGAAGCCTATTAGGAACTGGGGTGGCCTCCCTTCCAGCTTTGTGGGTTCAACCCTGCCTGCACCCTCCCGTCCTCCTGCCCTCCCTCCCCACCTCCCTACCCCTCCTCCCCTCCTTCTCTCCTCCTTTCTCCTTACGCTCAGTTTGAGGCTAATCTTTCTAGAGCTTAAAAGATATAGTCCCTCCCTCAAGCAAGGTGTAAGTCCCGGTAGCTGCCTGGAGAAGGAGAGTGGAGGGAAGAATGAAAAAAAAACAAAACAAACCAATAAGCCACACCCTTCAAGCTAGCACGGAGAACAAACCCACGCTGGGAGGGGAGCCTTTGAGAAAGAGTAAGGAGGCCGTAAGTGCTGGAGAAGCCCGAAGTGCTGCCAGGAAAACATGCTTAGAGAAGAGAGAAGATGTTAGCGCTGCCCTCACTAAGCGGGCAGACCCAAGGAGCTGCACGGCTCTCCCCCAGCAATTGATTTCTGTCTGCTTCGTCTTCCGCTCCTGGGTGTGTGCTCTGATGTGCTGGCTCCAGACTTTGCTGGTATCCCTGAGCCACAGGCTTCCTTGGCAGGGACTGCCCAGAGTCTCCCCCAGTGCAGCTGCGCCCCCAAGCCCATGCTCCCCCTCTGGCCCTCCCCACCCCCGGGGCTTGTGCCGTTGTGTTTGGCTGTGGGGTGAACCAGACACGGCAGGCAGAGGCACCGGATCAGGAGCCGCCTATCGGCAGTGAAGCTCACTGTCGGCGTTCCCATGTCCTGTCCAGACTGTCCATTGGCTTTGAACTGCTGAGAAAGATGGGTTGGAAGGAAGGACAAGGGGTCGGCCCTCGAGTGAAGAGGAAGCCACGCCGGCAGAAACCGGGTAAGCCCGTCGATGGCGGCCACCTGTACAGTGCGCACTTTGGTTTGTTTGTTCGTTTTGTCTTGTGAGACGGGGTTGCAGTATGAAGTTCAGGCTGCCCGGGGCGCTCAGCCTCCTGTGGGCCAGCATTATAGCAATGTGCCATGACATTTAACTACAGCATTTTATTTATTTATTTATTTATTTATTTATTTATTTATTTTGAGATAGAGTTTCTTCATGTAAAAGCTCCGACTGTCCTTCTGGAACTTGGTCTGTAGACCAGACTGGCTTCAAACTCAAAGAGATCCATCTGCCTCTACCTCCTGAGTGAAAAAAAAAATATATATATATATATATATTATATAATATATTCTTTTTTTTGTTTTGTTTTATGAGCCAGGGTTTCTCTGTATTGTTTTGGAGGCTGTCGGTCCAGCCTGATAATATATTCTTAATAGCTGGGTATGGTAGCACACACCTTTAATCCCAGCCCGTGGGAGGCAGAGGCAGGCGGATTTCTGTGAGTTGAAGTTCAGGTTGGTCTACACGGCTCCAGGATAGCCAGGGTTCCATAGTGAGCCCTTTTCTCAAAGAAAAAATTTCTTTATTTAATGTGTGTATGTGTGTATTTGCCTGGTGAGTCTGTGTGTACCACATGTGAGTTCAGGGGCCCCGGGAGGCCAGAAGGGAGCATCAGAGCCGCTGGAACTGCAGTTGACAGAGAGTTCTGGGCTGCCGTGTGGGTACTGGGAGTGTAACCCATGTCCCCTGCATGAGTGACAAGTGCTCCTAACCACGGAGCCGTATCCCCAGCTCTCCAGCATGGTTTTGAGAGCTGCACACTCCTAGAAGCAGACTCTCTGAGTTAGGTGGCCTGCACATATCTTGAGGTTTTAGGTGTGAGACATGCTAACTTCTGGAGGGATTGTGCAAGCTCACATTCCTACCAGGAGTGTAAGAGTTTAATTTGCAACCACACCTTAACTGAATCACAGAGTCACAGTTCAGCGTTATCATTTCCTGCTCCTCCTGCTTCTTTGTATTTATTGTTTATTTTGATGCTGGGCGTGGAACCCGGGGCCTCACACATCCCAGGCAAGCACCACATCACGGTCCCACTACACTCCCAGCATCCGTTGTTTTCTGGTCTTCCCTTGTGCTCTGTGTCCCCAGACTGTGGTGAACCCTTGGAAGACGGGAGTAGTTTCCTTTGGGTCCATGCAGTACGTTATCGGGGCGCCGGTCGGGGTGGGCCTGTCATCCGTCTGAGGCCCTAAGGCTGCGGCACCTTCACAGGTGCAGCTGTGTCTCTGCACTCGTGAAGGTGTCGGTGACGTGGTGTCTATTTTCAGTCACTGGCGACTAATGCCTCTGGGGTCTCTTTTGTAGATCCTGGTGTTAAGATCTATGGCTGTGCGTTGCCGCCTGGAAGCTCTGGAGGGTCTGAGGTATGTTACAGTAGAATGTGCTACTTTGTGACGGTGAAATTTCAGGGTCACAAGCTGGGAAATACAGCTCAACGGTAGAGTCTAGCATGTGCAAAAGCCTTGGGTTTAATCCCTATCACTGAGAGAAAACAAAAACTGCCAGGCATGCTGGTGTACACCAATAATCTAAGCCCTAGGTTAGTCTGAGGTAGAAAGAGAGGTACAAGCTGGGAAATACAGCTCAACGGTAGAGTCTAGCATGTGCAAAAGCCTTGGGTTTAATCCCTATCACTGAGAGAAAACAGAAACAAAAACCAAAAACTGCCATGCATGCTGGTGCACACCAATAATCTAAGCCCTAGGCTAGTCTGAGGTAGAAAGAGAGGCCTCGAGGTCTAGACTGGTTTGAGCTAAATAGTGAGACTCTGCCTCAGAAAGCAGAGAGATGGCTCGGGGTAAAGGTGATCGCTGCCAAGCCCATTCCTGAGTTTGATCCCTGGAGCCCACTGTGTAAGCAGAGAACCCACCCGCATAAGTTGTCCTTTGACCTCTACGCGCGCTCTTATGGCGTGCATGCCTATGCGTGCACATATGTGCACACGTGATTTCTCCCCCACAAATAAACGAACAAGCAAATAGGTGTGATTAAAGAATAAAATGCAACAGCAGCGAAAGATCCAGACAGACAAGACACCCAAGCAGATGGTAAACAAACGAACAGCAACGCCATAAGCAATTTCAGGAGCCCGTTAGATTTCTCTGTCACGAAACACCCTTACCTTGAAGCTGCCATTACTGTCCGGATATAGTCAGCAATTTGCTAGACTATGGATACCCCAACTCTTGGTATTGATTGATTGATTGACTGACTGACTGACTGATTGATTGATTGACTGACTGACTGACTGACTGATTGATTGATTGACTGACTGACTGATTGATTGACTGACTGACTGACTGATTGATTGACTGACTGACTGACTGACTGATTGATTGATTGACTGACTGACTGATTGATTGACTGACTGACTGACTGATTGATTGATTGACTGACTGACTGATTGATTGACTGACTGACTGACTGATTGATTGACTGACTGACTGACTGATTGATTGATTGACTGACTGACTGATTGATTGATTGACTGACTGACTGATTGATTGATTGACTGACTGACTGATTGACTGACTGACTGACTGACTGATTGATTGGTTGACTGACTGACGGACTGACTGACTGACTGACTGACTGACTGCCTGACTGCCTGACTGACTGACTGATTGATTCGTTGGTTGGTTGGTTGATTGAGACAGAGTCTCACTCTGAGCCCTGACTGATCCAAAACTCATTGTATAGACCAAGCTGGCCTTGAGCTCACAGCAACCCACCTGCCTCTCCCTCGCTGATGATGGGATTCAAGCTGTACACCACCGGGCCTTGTTAGTTCTTATTTATTTCTTGTGATGGGGTTTGCAACAAGGGCCTTGCATGCTCAGCATGTGCTGTACCTCTGAGCTACACCCCTACCCTGGTTTTAGATTCTTTTCTTTAAAAATACTGTTTTTATTTAGTGTATGTGCAGGCCAGCAGAGGGCATGAGCAGATGCCCAGAGTTACAGGCAGCTGTGAGCCGCCGGATGTGGGTGCTGGGCGCTGAGCCCTGGTCCTCTGCAAGAGCAATGCTTGCTCTTACTGGCCAGGCCATCTCTCCAGCCTCCGCTAGACTCTTGCCATGGCGCTGCTTTTGTTAGTATCATTTCTTCAGAGATGGGATCTGGTCATTCCTGGCCGCAGAAACTTGAGATTTTCAGCTGTTCGGTTTGGAGTTAATCACTGCACTCCAAGGCCCTGACGCCCAGAGTGACTCACCTTAACCTCTCCTCACACACGTGACCAGGACGAAGACGATGACTACCTGCCTGACAATGTGACTTTTGCACCTAAAGACGTCATGCCTGTGGATTTCACACCTAAAGATAATGTACACGGACTGGCCTACAAGGGCCTGGACCCCCGCCAAGCCCTGTTTGGAAGGCCAGGAGAACATCTGAATCTTTTTGGCGGAACATCTGAGGGGACCAGCCATCTTCTTGAAGATGTTGGACTGAGTAAAGGAAGAAAATTGGGGATTTCTGGCCAGGTAAAAGTTTTTGTATTGTGCAAGCAGACATACCAACAAATAGATAAGCTTCCCATTTTATGTCAGCCCCATAGTAGGCACTTTGTATATTCAATAAGGACTTTGAAGTCCTGTCCTGCCAGCCATCCCCCCTTCTCTCTCTCTCTCTCTCTGTCTCTCTGTCTCTCTCTCTCTCTCTGTGTTTCTCTCTTTCTGTTTCTTTCTGTTCCAATGCTGGGCCTGGGACCCTTGCGTATACTGACTACTCTTATACTGAGCCCTATGCCCAACGCCAGGCTCTGTTTCCCCGAAGGTCCTTCCTGGGCACCAGTGATGGACGTCTATTATGCCTTTCTTTCTCATTCTTCCAACAAAAAATGAGCTTGCTCAGACTGTTTCCCACAGTCTTCAGACCTTGGCCGCGCTGACCAGGGGAAGACAGACATGTCTGCCTTTCCCTCAGAGCCCTGTTTCTGCCTGCCTGTCAGTGCGAGTGTCCCTCACGTCTCTGCCTGGGCCAGGCCGCTGCTGGGGCTGGAGCGTGGCATTCGCCCTTGGCCACCGCTTTCCAGTAGACGCGAGGCTCCTCTAGTCTGGGTTTCCGTTTGCTGCTCTCTCAGAGACCCGGAAGTACAAGTGTGGTCTGCGGGACCCTGTGCCGAGTGTAGTTTTGCGGTGTGACGGACCCCACAGCCGGCGAGCTCTGTTTGAAACCTTGTGCCCTGCAGGCCTTCGGTGTGGGCGCCCTGGAAGAGGAGGATGATGACATCTACGCCACGGAAACCCTGTCCAAGTATGACACCGTGTTGAAGGATGAGGAGCCTGGGGATGGCCTCTATGGCTGGACAGCTCCCAAGCAGTACAGAAGCCAGAAAGGTAACCCTGGCAACCGGGACGGTAGGTCTCATTGCCAGGCTCTCGGGAACAAGGGGCACAGTCTCTGGCACCAGCACCAGCCTCTAGAGCAGGGAATGTCAATGCTGCAGGATGTGGGGCCCAGTGGGTAGGGGCACTGGCTGCTCTTGCGGAGAAGACCTGGGTTTAGTTCCCAGCACCCACAGGGTGGCTCACAGCCACCCATAACTCCAGTCCCAGGGGATTCCATGCTCTCCTCTGACCTCCACAGACACCAGGTACACGCATGGTGTACAAACGTGCATACATACGTTTAGACAAAACAAAACACCCGCCTCATCAAGTAAAGATTGATAACGTAAAAAAGATGCAGGGCGAGAACACACCGGAAGCTGATAGAGTGGGCTTGTTCTAGTAATTCTAGCACTTGGAAAGCCGAGGCAGGAGGATTGCCGTGAGTCACGCAGTGAAGTCTAGGCCTCCCTGGCCTGCAGTGTACGGGATGTAAGAAAGGATTTAACTGTGGTTTAAGCCACAGTTAAAGGCAGCAGCGGGGATGGGTATGAACTGGGGAGCTTGGGCACGCGGCCTGGGACCAGGGACCGGTGCCAACTTAAACAGCAGCAGGTCAGAACACCAGGCTTGGGGACCTCTGTGACGGGGCCGCCAGTCTGAAGCCCAGCAGAGCTGTCAGGCTTAGCCTGTCCCCCCTCGAGGGCCCAGGGCTCTTGTCTGCAGACGGGCTCCCTAGGAAGCAGCTCCCTGAGTTCCGGGACCTTCCTTCCTGGAGGATCCTCTCTCACAGTCTGCTTCCTCCAGCCTCTCCCAGGGCCACAAGGCCTGCAGTTCTGACTGTATGAGTTCGGGGGTATTTTGTCTCTCCTTTTTTAATTTGTACGTAGTTACCGCATGTCCTCTGTTTTCCTTTTGACTGAATGAACATATCCTCATTTTGTCCAACATCCACAGTTGACTTTTAGGATTTTTCTTTCCTTCCACCGATTAATGAGGCTGGAATGACTCTTCTGTGTGCCTGCTCTACAGAGTCACCCTGTGACTCACAGGTCCCTTCGTCAAGGGGTCGTCTGCAGCCAGTGGGCGGCCCCCTGACCAGGCCGAGGGTGTTGGCCACTCAGCTTCCTTAGTTTGTGGTCTTTATCTACTGTTAGCATTTCATTCGCAACAACAGTTTGTTCTAGGGCGAGCTCACAGCCGACCTGATTGTGTTGCCTGGGAGCGTTATTTGTGCTGTTGCTAAGGGAACTGGGGGACAGACACTCTGGGCACTGGCGTGAGAAATGACCCTAGCAGTTAGGATTTCCCAAACTTTTTACACTCTAGAAGACTTTTCTTGAGAACTTTCACTCTACAGAGCAACCACGGTCATTTTTCATTGGTGGGGAGGGATTTTTGGTTTTTTGTTTGTTTGTTTTTTGTATGGGTGGATTTTTAGCTCCTGTTTTCAGAGGTTTTGAGCCAGAGCCCTTGGGTTCCATACTCGGCGACCCAGCATGGCGGCGGCCTGTGCAGAAGCTGTTCTTCTGAGGCCCCGCTCTGGAGACAGCGCTGGGGGCTTGTCTTGGGAGGCTGAGGCTGCCGTCCAGGCAGCTGGGTGAGCCTCCCGTCGCCGTGTCAACAGAAACATGAGGGCTTGAATGCCATTGTGTCCCTCAATGCTCCTTCCCAGTGATCTCACCCAGGGCGCTGTTTGTGCTCTGCCCTAATCAGCTCAGCTGCTGGCATTAATTAATGATGTCATTTTTGTAGAACCAGAGAGAGACCTTCGATATGTTGGCAAAATCTTGGAAGGATTTTCCTTGGCTTCTAAACCTCTATCTTCAAAGAAAGTAAGAAAACCTTTGCATTAAAATTGCTTTTCCGGCTTGGTGCTTATAATGGTTGTTTTATTTTAAAATTTATATATCTATCACTTTAATGTTTATTTATGATAGTAAGTAATTGATTGAGCTATATCGGTGTACTTACGGAAACTGGATATTTCCGCATGCCTGTTCTTCCTTTAAAGCTCTTTAGAAGAAAGCAGGGTGTGGTGGTGCCTGCCTGTAACCCTAGCACTTGGGAGCTGAGGCAGAAGAATCTTGTTCTGAGCCAACCCAGGAAACTGACCAAGATCCTGTTTCAAAAAAAGGGTGGCTGGGGGGGACACACGTCACATAGTAAAATACTCAAGACATGAATTCAGTTCCCAAACCCACCTCAGAAAAGCCAGCGTGGCGGCTGCCCTTGTCACCCAATGTGTGGAGGCAGAAAAGCGAAGCCTCCTGAGGCTCACTGGCCGCAGTAGAGCCTACTTGACAGGTTCCATGGCAGGGGAAGAGTCTGTCTGGAAAGTAAAAGGCGGGGCTGGAGAGGTGGCCCCTCGGTTAAGATCACTGGCTGCAGCCGGGGGTTGGTGGCGCACGCCTTTAATCCCAGCACTCGGGAGGCAGAGGCAGGCGGATCTCTGTGAGTTCGAGACCAGCCTGGTCTACCAAGCGAGTTCCAGGACAGCCTCCAAAACCACAGAGAAACCCTGTCTCGAAAAACCAAAAAAAAAAAAAAAAAGATTACTGGCTGCTCTTCCAGAGGACCCATGTGTGATCAGCTCACAGCCATCTGTGACTCCAGGTCCCGGGAATCTGACTCCCTCTTCTGACTTCTGGCACCAGACACACATGTTGTGGTGCATAGACATACAGACAAGACGGCCATACATGTTTTAAAAAAATCCTATTACAAGAGAGGCCAGACATGTGTGGCCCGGTGATTAGATTCCCAACACCACAAAACAACCCCCACACCTTTGAACCAAGTTACCCCCCCCCCCCAGTAAAGGTTGTTTCCCGGCAGTAGTAATTCCACTGAGCCCTAGGGAACTAGAAACTCCTAACCCTAAGGACCGACCACAGACATCAACATGGTGAAAAGTTCTCAGGCCAGCATGCATCTGGGACTGGGTGTTTCACCTGGTGCGCAAGTTCAGAGTTGACTTGCTTCCCACTTTTGGGAAACTTCTAGTTCTAGAAGTCAATGTACAGGCAACTGTTAATCTGTTTGTTATACTAAGAGCAAGGGGACCATTCAGTAGTCACTTAAAAGACCTAATGGCTGGTATGCGGGGCACACCTTTAATCCTAGTACTCAGGAGGCAGGCGGATCGCTGTGAGTTCGAGGCCGGCCTGGTGTACAGAGCCAGTGCCAGGACAGCCGGAGCTACATAGTATAATTGTTTCCAAAAAACAATAACAAAATAAAACCTCTAGAGCTACATAGTATAATTGTTTCCAAAAAACAACAACAAAATAAAACCTCTAGAGCTACATAGTATAATTGTTTCCAAAAAACAACAACAAAATAAAACCTCTAGAGCTACATAGTATAATTGTTTCCAAAAAACAACAACAAAATAAAACCTCTAGAGCTACATAGTATAATTGTTTCCAAAAAACAACAACAAAATAAAACTTTTAGAGCTACACAGTATAATTGTTTCCAAAAAACAACAACAAAATAAAACCTCTAAAGCTACACAGTATAATTTTTTCCAAAAGAAAAATAAAGCCCTCTGAAGCTTAGCCTGGGATGTAGCTTAGTCGTAGAGACTGTACTGTGTGGGCACGGTCCATCCTGTAAACAGCAAAACCCCTTTGTCTCTAACTTTTCTGTTCTGCAGTCATTTGGGGTTAGAAATCTCGAAACTCCACAAATACATGTAAACTTCACTTTTGCCACCTTTCCTCCCCCTCCCCCTCCGTCTTTCGTGCATGCTAGGCAAGCACCTTAGCGCTGAGCTGCACCCTAGCTCACCTTTGCTGTTTTGTTTGGTGGGGGGGGGGTGGTTCCGGAGGACTGAACCCGGGGTCTCGTGACTGCTCTGCAAACAGTGTAACTAAGCCTCAGCTCGACAGTGTCTAATTAAAAAACAACAACAACAAAAACTTTGAATTCAGAAGCAAAGTCGGGGCAGGAGACTGGAGGGATGGCTCAGTGGCTAAGAGCACTTGCTGCTTACTATTGAGGAGCGGGGTTTGGATCCTAGCGGCCCCAGGTACCTGTCATTCTAGTGCCAAGGACCCCATGTTCTCAACTGGCCTCTGCAGGTGCCTGCACACACTGTACGTACACTTACACAGCAGACACACACATTCACAAGTAAAATAAAAACAGAGTTTAGGAAACCCAGGTCCCAAGTTTTACTTTAGGAGAGAACCATAGCCTGAATAAAGAGTTTTGAATTTAAAACTCCCTGATTCAAGGGTTCCCCCCCCCCCGAAGTCTTGAATCACGCACTTGTAATGTTTTGTCTTACAGTGGGCAGCGTGGGGGGGGGGGGTCAGGACACCGTGCTATGTCTTCTCATATTTAGTGTTCTCATCGTGGGGGGCATAAATATTAGCAGTGGTGATGTCTGCAGGGAGGGACATTGGGACAGTGGTGATGTCTGCAGGGAGGGACCATTGGGACAGTGGTGATGTCCGCAGGGAGGGATGTTGGGACAGTGGTGATGTCCGCAGGGAGGGACATTGGGACAGGGGTGATGTCTGCAGGGAGGGACATTGGGACAGGGGTGATGTCTGCAGGGAGGGACATTGGGACAGGGGTGATGTCTGCAGGGAGGGACATTGGGACAGGGGTGATGTCTACAGGGAGGGACATTGGGACAGGGGTGATGTCTACAGGGAGGGACATTGGGACAGGGGTGATGTCTGCGGGGAGGGACATTGGGACAGTGGTGATGTCTGCGGGGAGGGACATTGGGACAGTGGTGATGTCTACAGGGAGGGACATTGGGACAGGGGTGATGTCCGCAGGGAGGGATGTTGGGACAGTGGTGATGTCGCAGGGAGGGACATTGGGACAGGGGTGATGTCTACAGGGAGGGACATTGGGACAGGGGTGATGTCTGCAGGGAGGGACATTGGGACAGTGGTGATGTCTGCAGGGAGGGACATTGGGACAGTGGTGATGTCTGCGGGGAGGGACATTGGGACAGGGGTGATGTCTGCAGGGAGGGACATTGGGACAGGGGTGATGTCTGCGGGGAGGGACATTGGGACAGTGGCTGTGGTGCCCTTAGGGCCAGGCGGTCACACTGCTGCCCACCGCCTAGTGTACCCGGGCTGCTCCTGGTCCCTCTCTATGAAGTCTGTGATCTTGCAGCCTGGACTTCCTGACCTTGGCTTTGTCTGCTTTTGTTAAGATCTACCCACCCCCTCAGCTGCCCAGAGACTATCGGCCGGTGCACTATTTCAGACCCGTGGTCGCTGCCACGTCCCAGAACGCTCACTTACTTCAGGTGTTATCAGAGTCGTCTGGGAAAGCAGGAGAAGCCACGGGGACCCGCAGTAGGCACCAGCTCAATGCCTCCAAGCGGGGGGCGTTGTTAGGAGAGATGCCTGTGCCAGGTATGTGCAGTGTCGCGTCGTCTTACTCAGACGGGGGTCATGGTTCCCCACTGATGCTCCTTGTATGCATTTTGTATCCTCAGGCTGTAGGAGCCGTGTCATGTGTTATAAACGGCATATGAACGCGTACATGGACTTTATTATTATTACTTGGTGGTAGTTGTTCTTTTTGCTGCCCCTCCTTTTTTTATACCCCCCCCCAAGGTCTCATGTAGCCCAGGATGGCCCTTAATTCTCAATGTGGCCAGGGATGATTTTGAACTCTTGGTTCTGCCACCTCAGTCACACCCTGCTGAGATCACAGGAGTGTGCCACCTAGGTTATTTGTCTTCTATAAAAAAAGTTACTTAAGCCAAGCAGTGGGGGTGCACGCCTTTAATCCCAGCACTCGGGAGGCAGAGGCAGGCAGATCTCTTTGACTTTGAGGTCACCTTGGTCTACAGAAAGAGTTCCAGGATAGCCAGGGCTACACAGAGAAACCCTGTCTCGAAAAAAACAAAAACAAAAACAACAAAAAAGCGGTAGTGTCTTTGCCCGGCAGAAGTAAGTCTATTTTTCGTGTCTTGTTATTTTTCTTACCTAGGATCATCTACTTCAGTGTTGGAGTTTCTGTCCCAAAAAGACAGAGAAAGAATTAAAGAAACGAAGCAGGCAACTGACCTTGACCTGAAAGCAGCTCAGGCCAAGGCCCGGAGTCTGGCCCAGGCGGCCTCCAGCAGCAGAGCCCAGACCCCCACGCCGGACCTCGCATCCAGCCGGTGGCATCTGGCGGCGGGCGGGGGGACGGCGGCCACCGCAAGAGCCAGCAACTTCAAGCCTTTCGCCAAAGATCCCGAAAAGCAGAGACGATACGAAGAGTTCTTAGCTCTCATGAAGAAGGGTCAGAAAGGTGGGTGCTGTCCGGCCTGGCTGGGGTGGCGGCCTCTCTGTGCTCCTCCTGGTCACAGGCTGAAAGCCGACCACCCTGGTCTGTAATTGGCTTTGCTTGCTTTGGTATAAACAGTGCAGAGGCTCTGGGCTTTCATTCGCATTTGATCCTAAAAAGCAAGCACGGGGTAGAAACAGAGTTGAGCTATAATCCCAGCGCTGGGGTGTCTGAGGCAGCGGGATCAAGAGTTCAAGGCCAGCCCCAGCTACGTAGCAAGTCCTCGTCTCGAAATTAAAAAGCAAAGCCAGACGAAAATCACAGGAAAATGCTAGGGAAAGTTTTCTCCCGGAGCACAGGCCGTAGTTGGATGGACCAGTGTCCTTAGCCAAGCATCAGTTTTCTAGATCTCTCTGTACCACCGAATAAGTAGAAGTCAGTGAAAAGCATCTTACTGATTCAGGTCTGGAGAGACGGCTCAGCAGTTAAGAACACTGGCTGCTCTCACAGAGGACCTGGATTTGATCCCTGGCGCTACCCACATGGCAGTTTATGACCATCCTTAACTCCAGTTCCGGGGGACCCAACAGATGTGCCTGTAGGCACAGCATTCACACACATAAAGTAAGACGAACCCGAGAAAAAGAAACGCCGTACGCAGGCGGGCGTGATATTGCCTGCAGGTAGCACCAGGTGCACCCCGTCTCCGTACAAGGGTCTGGACGCCCGTCCTCTGAGGAAGTGGAGTCCACCCGACGCCCCCCCCTAAGCACCGTGTTTTTCCCTTGGAGTAAGACAGTGCCCCGTCCCCCATGCCACAGATGCTCTGGAGCGATGCCTGGACCCCAGCATGACGGAGTGGGAGCGAAGCCGAGAGCGGGAGGAGTTTGCCCGGGCGGCCCAGCTGTATGTGTCGTCACACGCCACCCTGTCCTCCAGGTTCACTCACGCCAAGGAAGAAGACGACACGGATCAGGTTGAGGTTCCTCGGGACCAAGAGGTCTGTCGCCAGCATGTGCCTATCTGGTGAATTTCATTTTGTGGTTTGTTTGTTTTTTGGTTTTTCAAGACGCGTTTTCTCTGTATTGTTTTGGAGGCTGTCCTGGAACTCGCTCTGTAGACCAGGCTGGCCTCAAACTCACAGAGATCCTCCTGCCTCTGCCTCCCGAGTGTTGGGATTAAAGGCATGCGCCACCAACGCCCGGCCCGTTTTGTGTTTTTGCAGTTGTAGGGATGCAGCTGAACCCAGACATTCATACACGTTATGTTCGTGGTCTAACCATGAGGCCACATTCCCAAGCTCTGAGTCAATTTAATTGTGTATGTATATTCATGTGGGTGTGTACACTGTGTCTTGAGTGCATTTGCACGTATGTGTGCATTGTAGAAGCCTAAGGTCAACATTGAGTGTCCTCCTCAATTGCTCTGTAACTTACTTTATGTGGGTTTTTGTGCGCGCGCGTGTGTGTGTGTGTGTGTGTGTGTGTGTGTGTGTGTGTGTGTGTGTGTGAGAGAACCTCGTATTGGCCAGCTGGCCTGGACCTCCTGCTTCTCCTGCCTCAGCCTTCCAAGTGCTGGGGTTGCAGGTGTCAGTCACCACGTCTGGCTCCGCCTGGTCTTTTTGAAGCAGGGTCTTTCACTGAACTAGGAGCTCATTGACTGAGCTAGATGTGCCGGCCAGCGAGCTGCAGGGACCCGCCTGTCCCCTTCCCCGGTGCTGGGTTCTGGGCACGTGCTCTTGCACCCCCCCTTGCGTGGGCTCTGGGGATGTGAACTCAGGCTCTCAGGCCCATGTGGCTTGTACTTCTGAAGGAGCCACCTTCCCAGCCCCTCCTAGTGATTTTAAAATTTGAAACACCACGCGCCTAAATATCTTAAATCAGGAAAAAGAAAAAAAAATACACACAGCCTAGTGGAGTAAGAAATTTAGCTTATGGGATATTTAAGCAGTGTAACTCTCTTTGATGGTTCAAGACCAGTGTTTATTTATTTATTTATTATTTATTTTTGATGGAAGTCCAATGGGATGAAGCTTGGTGTCTTAGAAATGTATATGTTTATTCTTACTTTATATGCATGAGTGTTTTACATTCATGTATTTCTCTGTGTACCACATGGGTGCCTCGTACCTTCAGAGGTGTTGGAGTCCCTGGAACTATAGTTACAGATGGTCGAACCATCCTGGTGCTGGGAATCAAACCTGGGTCCTGGAAGAGCAGCCAGTGCTCTTAATTATTGAGCAATCTCTCCAGCTCTGACCTTTTGTTTGTTTGTTTTTGAGACAAGGTCTTTCTATATAGATCAGGCTAACTTGGAACTTTCTATGCAGTCCACCTGAATCTGTTTCCTGACATACTTTTTTTTTTTTCTCGAGGCAGGGTTTCTCTGTGTCTTTGGAGGTTGTCCTGGAACTAGCTCTTATAGACCAGGCTGGCCTCGAACTCACAGAGATCCGCCTGCTGTGAGTTTGAGGCCAGCCTGGTCTATAGCCTGAGTTCCAGGACAGCTAGGGCTCCATAGAGAAACCCTGACACACACACACACACACACACACACACACACACAATCACCTTTATATGTGTGCGTATCTACACGTGAGTATTTGCATGTGAGTGCAGTGCCCATGGAGGCCAGGAGAGGGCACTGGATCCCCTGGAGCTGGAGTGACAGGCAGGTGTGAGCTGATGGACGGTGCTGTTGGGAATGGAATTTGGGTCCTCTGCAAGAGCAGTGTGCTATCCTACCTGCTGAGCCATCTCCTAACTGAAGCTTCATGTGTCTAGCATGGAAGGCTGGTGAAGCCCGTTCTCTGACGGCACCTGTCTCTTCCTAGAATGACGTCAGTGACAAGCAGTCGGCTGTGAAGATGAAGATGTTCGGGAAACTCACCCGAGACACGTTTGAGTGGCACCCTGACAAACTTCTGTGTAAGAGGTTTAATGTCCCTGACCCTTATCCAGGGTAAGTTGGGCTAGCCTGCCTTTACATCAGTAAACAGTGTATCCACTCCATTACAGCTCACTTAAGAAAAACATTTTTTAGATTTATTTTCGTCTTGTCGTCGTGTGGGCGTCGAATCCCCTGCATCTGGAGTTACAGGTGGCCGTGAGCCACCACGTAGGTTCTAGGAACTGAAGCTGTGCCCTTTGTAAGAGCAGCAAATGCTCATAACCACTGAGATGGGCTGGAGAGACGGCTCAGAGGTCAAGAGCACCGGCTGCTCTTCCAGAGGTCCTGAGTTCAGTTCCCAGCAACCACACGGTGGCTCACAGCCATCTACAATGAGATCTGGCGCCCTCTTCTGGCATAAAGGCATAAATGAAGATAGAGCACACACACATAAAATAAATAAATGAAATCTTAAAATAAATATTGGGAGTTGCAAAGTTTGCACACTTACTTGTTTTGTATTTTTGTTCATGTGTGTATCTGTGTGTTTGGGGGGTGGACTCTAGGTGGACAACAGAGTGTCAGGTCCCCTGGAGCTGCAGATATAGGACGTGGGTGCTGGGAACCCAGCCTCTGCAAGAGCAGTAAGCAGTCTTGACTGCTGAGCCATCTCTCCAGCCCTGCCCTCCCCACTTTGATTCATGGGTCTGTGTGCTCGCCACATATATTTAGACCTCTTAACCCATCACTAAAATAAGGGTAACCTTTATTCCCTGTCTTGATGAAGTCATGTGCTTTGTTTGTTGTTTGTTTTGGTTTTTTAAGACAAGGCTTCTCTGTGTAGCCCTAGCTGTCCTGGAGTTCGCTTTGCGCCATTTTAAAAATGACTCTCATGCATTTTACTTTAAAAATGTTACTTACAGCTGGACATGGTGGCACACTCCTTTGATCCCAGCACTTGAGAGGCAGAGGCAGGCGGATCTCTGTGAGACAGAGGCCAGCCTGGTCTATGTAATAGAGACACTTTGTGTCAAGCAACAGTAGCAAGTGTTATTTGTGTTTTCTTTTTCCTTTGTGTGTTTCGGAGCTTGCTGGGATCAAACCCAGGCCTTCCTCGTGCTAGGCAAGCCCTCTGCCTCCAGCCTAATACCCAGGTCACTCACTGCTTAAGAGCACCGGCTGCTCTTGTGGAGGACCAGGTTTGATTCCCAGCACCCACGTGGTGGTTCGTAAACATCTGTAACTCCAGTCGCGGGGGAATCTGATGCCCTCTTCTGACCTTCACATGCAGGCACCAGGCACATGTATGACACACACACATACATGTAGGCGCTCATGTACATAAAATGAGTAAGTCAACGCCTGGTTTTGCCGGGCGTTGGTGGCGCACGCCTTTAATCCCAGCACTCGGGAGGCAGAGGCAGTCGGATCTCTGTGAGTTCGAGGCTGGGCTGGACTGACAGCCTCCAAAACAATACAGAGAAACCCTGTCTCGTAAAAACAAAACAAAACAAAACAAACAAAACAAAACAAAACAAAAAGCACTGGTTTAGCCTCTTTTTATTTGATTAAAAACAATCCCAGGAAGCATATTTGTAGAAAGCTCTAGTCCTTATTATTATTATTATTATTATTATTATTATTTGTTCTGTTTTGCTTTTGTTTTTTAAGACAAAATCTCTGTGTGGACCTGCTGGCCTTGAACTCACAGAGATCCGTCTGGCTCTGCCTCTTGTGCCCTGGGATTAAAGGCGAGCGCCACCATGCTCCGTGTTCCTTACTCAGGAAAACGCAGGGGAAACTCAGGGGTTCTAAAGTCGGGTTCTGCCATCCAGAGCTGCTTTGAGAAAGCAGACACGTCCTGAGACCCTGCGGCCAACTGCAGAACCGACGAGCAACTTTTAGCAAGCCTCTTGGAAGAGGGCTTCATCCCCACTGTTGTTATTAAAATTCCTTCTCTTTCCATTCTTAACCCCCACCCCCCACGCCAGCTCAACGTTAGTTGGCCTGCCCAGAGTGAAGCGGGATAAATACTCAGTCTTCAACTTCCTGACGATCCCGGAGCCAGCCCCTCCACCCACCACCCCAGCTCCCAGTGAAAAAGCCCCGCGGGGGCCGCAGCAGCAGCAGCAGCAGCAGCCGCAGCCGGGTTCTGACAGTGAGTAGAACTCCCTGGCACCTAGGTACTGACCTCACGGGCTGCAAGGCCCCTTGAGAGTTGCTTGCATCTGCGCATGGGCGGGCGCCTGTCAGTCAGGCCAGGCTAGTGTTTAGCCTTAGAGCTTGGGTCTGTCTGTGCCTGCCCCTGTCCCAAGTGCTGTGCTCTGAGCCTGCCTGGCCCATCCGCGGTGCACCGAGGCTCGATCGCTCGCCCGCTCGCTCTGAGCCTTGAAGAGTTTGCCTCCCGTTTACCAATCCCAGTGTGGTCGGGTTCCTCCTGCCTTTCAGAATCCAGGAAACCGTCCCGATGGGACACATCCAAACCGGAGAAGAAGGAAGACTCCATTAGTGAGTTTTTGAGTCAGGCTAGATCAAAAGTCGGCCCACCGAGACAAGACCCCAGCGCCTCCGGAGACAAAGAGAAGGAACGGGCCCCGGAGCCAGGCCCAGACAAGGTATGGGGCCCCGGCTGTCCGTCTCTGCCAGTACCTGTGGCCTGGTCCCCTCTCTGTGTGACGAGTTCTCTCCTCAGTGGTAGGGGTGTCGGTAACTGAGGGCACTGTTGCCCGAACAGCTTTCTTTGCTCATGGAGACCAGCGGCAGATGATGCGGCCCTGGGCTGTGCCTGGCTCGTGCCCGTTAGACGCAGCACAATCGTAGCTCTGAGAAAAGGCTCCGTGCTTCTGGCTAGAACAGCCCTGGCTTAGCATAAACCGTCGAGTCCAAACTTAATGTGCTCATACGAGCGGATACGAGTTTCCAAATAATAGGCGGTCACTTTTGTGGTGAAAATACCCCTGAGTTCTCTCGCGTTTTCTTTGCTTTCTGTACACATGTGGGTCAGAGGACAACCTATGAGAGTTGGTCCTCTCCTTCCACCGTGCGGGGCTCGGGGATTGAGCTCAGGTCAGGCTGGGCAGCAGGCACCTCTGCCCCCTGAAGCATCTCACCAGCCTGCTTTGCCTGCCCTTTTGAGACAGGGTGCTGCCGTTGTAGGCTGGCTGGCCCTGAGCTCCTCGGCCTCCTGCTGCAGCTTCCTGTGTGGGATGATAGGCGTGTGACCATCATGCCCAGATCAGTCTTGTTACGTTTACCTTGTCAATATCATTGTATTTACAGTGGATTTCTCATAAATAGCATGCCCTTGCATGTTATTTAAAATATTTTTGATAATCTTATATTTTGAATATTTACATTAGTTACTGATACTTTTGGATTTAGTTGCCCGATTTCCACCTGTGTAGTTTCTTAATCTTTTTTTCATATTCACTGCTGGTTCTGAAGGCAGTCTCATATAGCACAGGCTGGCTTCAAGCTGCCTGTGTAGCCGAGGCTGGCTCTGACCTGTGTTCACCCTCTGTCTTAGTTAGGGCTTCTGCTGCTGTGAAGAGACACCATGACCCCTTGAAGACTCTTATAAAGGAAAGCCTTTCATTGGGACTGGCATACAGTTCAGAGGTTCAGTCCATTATCATCATGGGGGAAGCATGGTGGCAGGCAGGCTTGGTGGTGGTGGAGAAGGAGCTTAGAGTTCTAAGTCTCCATCAGCAGGCGACAGGAAGTAGTCTGTCTCACTGGGCGTGGTTCGAGCGTTTACGAGACCTCGTGGCCCACCTCCACAGTGACACACTTCTTCCGACAAGGCCACGCTGTTTTCTCTGAAGCCCCACCATAGCTGGTGACCCAACACTCAACACCCGCAGGGGCAAACGGTGGTGGTCCTGGGACTCTCATGACAGAGTCACAAGACCTTTGGGTAGGTAGGATCCTACAGCTCCCTGGTCGTTTTTGTGAACCTCTCTCTGTCTCTCTCCTTTGTTCAAAGTGGTACATCTTTGCTGAACTCTCGTCAACGTAATAAACTTTCTGGTACCGTCTCCATTCCGCCGTTGGATTCAGTAATGAGTTTGGTTTGCTCGGGGTCTTGTAACTTAAATGAGCCCATGTATATTAATCTACATCGGGCCATGTGGTGTCACCTGCTGTTTCCTTTCCGTGTCTGGCTGGCCACACCCGTGACTCTGCCCTTCTTCCCGGTGCCCTCAGTCTGGCTCTCCTGCCTAACCTAACCCTGTCCAGCTATTGGCCAGCCGGCTTCTTCAGTAAACCAGTCACAGTGACGAGTATTCACACCGAGTAAAGGAGTATTCTAAGATCTCTGTTAGCTCCAGGCCAGCTGGACCCATATAGAGAATTCCAGGCCATCCAGGGCTACATAGAAAGATTCTGACTCCAAAAAAAAAAAAAAAAAAAAAAAAAAAAAAGCCTGACAAAGCTAACATTTTGTCATTTCAGTATCTGTTTCTCGTGTTGTATTTTCTTGGTTGTCTGTAGACTGCTCTGTTTTCCTTGGTTGTCCATAGACTTCTCTGGTTTCTTGGTTGTTCATACCCTGCTGCAATTTCATCTCTGGGTCCTCTGCAGGTCTGTTAATGGCCAGTCTCCAAGAAGGGCCTCAGCTGCATATGCTTCCTGAGTATATTCTAAGAGTCCCACAGAGGGGAGAATGCTACATGCTTAGTTAGGCAGTAGTGATGGATACCCTAAACTGTATTTTTTAGGGGGCGGGGGATGTTTCCAGACAGGGTTTCTCTGTGACTTTGGAGGCTGTCCAGACACTTAGCTCTGTAGACCAGGCTGGTCTCAAGCTCACAGAGATCTGCCTGCCTCTGCCTCCCGAGTACGGGGATTAAAAGCACGAATCACCAACACCCGGCCCCATTTTTAAAAAAGTGTGTGAATGTTTTGTCCGCATGCACATCTGTGTGCCATGTATGTGCGGTCCTTGCCGAGGGCAGGAGAGGACTTCTGGTCCCTGGAAAGTGGACTTACAGGTGGATGTGAGCCGACACGTGGGTGCTGGGAATCCAATCAGGACCCCAGGAAGAGCGGCCAGGGCTCTGAACCGCCGAGCCGTCTGCCCAGCCCTCTTATCTGTGTGCTCGTGTGCGAGCACGTGCCCCAACACATCGAGTCCCTTTGTTCCTGACTCTTTCTTCTCTGTCCCACAGACTGCAGATCAAGGCGTGGACACACAGGGGGATGGGGAAGGTAGCCGCCCGCCCATGGACTTATTCAAGGCCATCTTTGCCGGTTCGTCTGACGAGAAGTCCTCGTCCTCAGAGGAGGAGCAAGATGACAGTGAAGACAGTCAGGAGCTCACCGAGGAGGCCGGCTTTAAAACTTCCCAGGAAGCTGCTGCCACAGGGGAGACCTCTGTGACCCAGGGTATGGCCGCCCCCTGGCGTGGGCACTGAGGGAGGAGCGAGGGCTTTAGGTGCAGTGTTGTTCGTTCGTGTTGAGACAGTTTGGCCTTGAACACCCCGAGGCTGCGCTGGGACCTCTGTTTCTGTTTTCCCCACCTCCCAGGTCCCGGGACTACAGGCTCGCACCACACTTGGCTTTGCGACCTTAAACTACGACAAATGACAGTTGTCAGTTAGTGATATTTCATCATATACACAAGCTGCGCGAGTGCGTGTGTATACGTGTGTTAGTGCGTGCAGGTGTGTATGTGTGCACGCATGTACGCTGGAGCCAGAGGTCAGCCTTAAGTGTCTTGCCTCCTGAGCCAACCACCACCTTGCTTTTTGGGTGCCATGCCTCTATAAACATCTAGGTCTCACGGGTGTCTGGTTTAAAAAGCAGCCTCACTATCAAGCCCCAGGACCCCACCCACCTGTCCCAGCACTGAAATTACAGTGCATGAATGTTCATTCTGGGCTCAAAATCAGGTTCTCATGCTTGTTTGATGCCCTCCCTCCAGCCCTTTCATCATTATATATAATAATCAATATGTGTGTGTGTATGTGTATATGTATGTATATGTTGTTTGTTTGCTTTTCAAGACAGCATTTCTCTGTAGCTTTGGAGGCTGTCCTGGAACTCGCTCTGTAGACCAGGCTGACCTCGGACTCACAGATCCACCTGCCTCTGCCTCCCCAGTGCTGGGATTAAAGGCGTGCGCCACCAACGCCCGGCCCTCATCGTTATATTTTAATTTGCATGAGTAGAGTCCTGGGTATTGATTCTTTTTTTTTTTTATCTAATTTACATCTCTGATATATATTTTAAAGATAGTTGTGTTTGATAATGCTGATTTCCCAGTTTAGCCTAATTAAGAAGAATTGAAAAAAAGGACAGGTTTTCTTTTAAAACTGTTTTTTTCTAAGGGTTGTGGGTGGAGCTCAGTATCTAGCTTGGGCATGATCCTGGGTTCTTTCTCTCTCTGCCTGGTTGCTGAGGGAGTGTTAGGGCTCTAAGGGTTTGGTCCCAGGCGTACAAGGATGTTCAGGTTGCGCTGTCTATGGGATCTGGTATGCTTCGGTTGGCTCTTGCGAGCATAGCCTGACGTGCTAACCCTTGGTCTTCTCTCGTTCCCGGGCCCCACACCTGCCCAGAAAGCTGGCCTGCTTGTTCCCTGCACCTCCTTGAGCATTCGAGACGAAAACGAGAGGCCATCCCAAGTAGGGAGACTTTGGGATGCTGGAGCCAGGGCGGCCTCCCTTCTGCATCTTGGAAGGTTCTGTGTGCCCTGACACCTGAGTATAAATCCCGAAGGCCTTGACCAGGGTGTCACACCGTGATATGGTGCAGTGTTTACTGTTAGATGATTACAATATTGGTTTCTTTTTCCCCCCTGCGGATAAACCCTTGTTTTATTTTTATTTTTTTTATTATAAAGTCATGTATACCTGAAATCTAAACATTTATTTAAAAGTAGGCTGGGTGTAGTGGCACATGCCTTAGACCCCAGCACTCAGGAAGTAGAGGCAGGTGGACCTCCAGGAGTTCAAGGGCAGCCTCCGTCTGCATGGTGAGTTGCAGGACAGCCAGCAACTATGCAGTGAGACCCTGCTGCCAACAAAAATGTTAAAAAGTAGCTAGAGGCAGAGTGCCTGCCCCACACGCAGTGACCTGGGTTCGATCCTCACAGACGGTACGTGCCCAGAACTGGTGCATGGATAAGAAACCATCCTCAGCTATGTAGCTAGTTCAAGGTTAACCTCCATGTGGAGTGCATGACCCCAGCCACGGTGGCTCCCCGGGGACAGCCAGCCACGCCCTTTGCTCTGTGTGGCCTCGTGTAGCTGACCTCCCAGCTCCAGTGCCCACAGGCAGAGGTGGCCTTCACCCCGTGTGTCACCGTGCTCCCGCTCAGCTCTGCTGCTTCCGCGGAGCAAGGAAAGTGCACCCAGGCTCGGTGCTGCGCCAGCGCCGGGCGGATGAAACTGATGTGCTTCCACCGCCGCTGCTGTTTTTCAGCCGCCGAGCCGGAACCTTGTGAGCCTGCAGTCCCCTTCCCCATCCAGAAGGCACAGATCGATGAGCGAGAAGAGTTCGGGCCTCGGCTGCCTCCTGTCTTCTGCCCCAGTGAGTACTCACCCGCGCGCGCGCGCCCCTGCAAAGGAACAGCGCCCATAATGGCCCGTCCGCCTGTCTGCCCGACTCCACACCCACCGAGGGTCCGCGAGTGTCCCCGGTTATGGGCGCCCCTGGGCACCCGCCGCCTGCCTCCACTGAGTGCCTGCCTGAGCCGCAGTTTCTTTACAGTCCGGAAGCTGGGCACGCCCTCTCCTCCTCAGCTTTGAGATGCTGGGAGCATCTTAGGTGTTGTCATTTTACAGGGCTGTTGTGGTGATATGACTCCAGCACTCAGGACACCGAGGCAGGAGGATCACAAGTTTGAGGCTAGTCAGCCCCTGTCTTAAAAAAATAAAAAAAAAATAAGCCGGGCGTTGGTGGCGCACGCCTTTAATCCCAGCACAGAGGCAGGTGGATCTCTGTGAGTTCGAGGCCAGGCTGGTCTACAAAGTGAGTTCCAGGACAGCCTCCAAAGCCACAGAGAAACCCTGTCTCGAAAAACCAAAATAGATAAATAAATAAATAAATAAATAAATAAATAAATAAAAGCTCACTTTGGAAATGAAGAAGAGTCAGGAGTGGTGGTGCACACTTAGTCCTAGCACTCGGGGGGGGCAGAGGCCGGTGGATCGCTGAGTTCAAGGCCAGCCTAGCCTGGTCAGCAGAGTGAGTTCAAGGGCTACATAGTAAGACCTTGTCTCAAAATAAATAAATAAATAAATAAAAAGAGATGGGAGGGCATTGTGGACTGAAGAGCATTTTCTGAAGGGCTTTGGCTCACAGAGCGAATGAAACCAGCCTGCCCCTTCGGCTGTTGGCACAGGCCAGCCCGTCTCCCCGGTGCCCTCGGCGGTTTCTGCACAAGGCCACATGGCAGCGCCCCCTGTGGAAATGTTCAGACTGTTTTGTTTTGTTTTTTTACCATGGCTCTGAAGGCCAGGTTAACAAATATGATACCATGGCCCACCAGGAAACTCCCATAGTATTCACCCCTAAATACTGGCGTGGCTGAAGACCCCAGCTTTCAAAGAATGCCAGCAGGCATGTGTCTCTAGACTTTGGTTTGCTCCAGGTTGGTGTTAGTACTCGCTGGCTTTGCAAAGTACTCCGGCTTTTTAATGCCCTTTTCCCAGAATGCCCTTGATATCCATAAAGTAGAAATAATAACTTGGTGCATGGGGTGCTTAGGGGGGGCATGATTTTCAAAAAGTAGGACTAAAAAAACAACTCGGGGAGGTGAAATTTTGGTTATCCGACTAACAATATGGTGAGGAAACTTCGGAGCCGTTTTGGCGGTCAGTGTTCTCCCTGTCCCTGACGCGTTTACCATGTCCCCCTCCTCCTCCCCCAGACACTCGCCAGAAGCTTGAGACACCTCGAAAAGAGAAACCCAAGAAGAGCAAAGAAAAACACAAGACCAAGAAGGAGCCCAGACGGAAGAAGGAGAAGGTGAGAGCGCGGAGAGGGGGCGGGAGAGCCCTGAGGAGCACAGAGGTGCGCCCGTCAGGCAGGAGCTGGCGCACAGCCAGGACTCCCTGCTTGCATGGCTGGGGCAGGGGATGGATGCGGGGTCAGAGGGCAGCCTGGGCCACCTAGCAAGAGGGTGTCTTGAAAGTGTAAATCATTAGGTAAGACTAAAAAGTGGATGCTGGGTGGGCAGGTGGGTAGGTGGGTGGGTAGGTAGGTAGATAGGGTGGGTGGGTAGGTGGGTAGGTAGATAGGGTGGGTAGGTAGGGTGGGTAGGTAGGTGTGTAGGTGGGTAGGGTGGGTAGGTGGGTGGGTAGGTAGGTAGGTGGGTGGGTGGGTAGGTGGGTGGGTAGGTAGGTAGGTGGGTGGGTGGGTAGGTGGGTAGGTAGGTAGGTGGGTGGGTGGGTAGGTGGGTGGGTGGGTAGGTGGGTGGGTAGGTAGGTGTGTAGGTGGGTAGGTGGGTAGGGTGGGTAGGTGGGTGGGTGGGTGGGTAGGTGGGTGGGTAGGTGGGTAGGTTGGGTAGGTGGGTGGGTAGGTAGGTGGGTAGGTGGGTGGGTAGGTAGGTGGGTAGTTAAGTGGGTAGGGTAGGTAGATTGATTGATTTTGGACCTGAAGAGATGGCTCAGTGGTTAAGCACACTGACTGTTTTTACAGACGACCAGAGTTTGTGTTCCGGCATCCGCATGGTGGCTCACAACTCTAGGTCTAGTCCCGGGGGATCTGATGCCCTCTTCTGGCCTCTGCAGGCACTGCATGTGTGTGGTGCCCAGGACACACACAGGCAGAACACCCAAACACATGGAAATACAGAAAAAGAGACATTGGCAGAGGATTTGATGTACTTGGTAGTGAAAGCTGAACAGTAAATAATAAAAGTGCCCCCCGCCACCTCATGGTCACCACAGACTGAGCTCGTGGTCCTCAGTGGGCATCTGAAGGGAAGGAAGCTTGAGGAGGAGGAGGGGCGACGGGTTCCGCGGTCACAGTCCCCTCCCCTGCCGTCCATGTGCTCCTCACGCTATGACCTGCAGTGACTGGTGTTAGCAGCAGGTACTTATGTGGCACAGCCAGGGTACATGCAGTTAGAAACCAAGCTTGGTCAACAGGAACTAAATTTACCCCCTGAGCTCTTCCCCAGCCTCCTCAACTCATCAGTCGTCAAGGAAAGTCCCTGTTGCTCCTCTCGTTCCTAACCCTCTTTTTCTTTCTTGTTTTTTTTGTTTGTTTGTTTGTTTGTTTTTTCGAGACAGGGTTTCTGTATTGTTTTGGAGGCTGTCCTGGAACTCGCTCTGTAGACCAGGCTGGCCTCGAACTCACAGAGATCCCCCTGCCTCCACCTCCCGAGTGCTGGGATGAAAGGCGTGCGGCTGACCCTCGTTTTCTTTCTCCCAGAAAAAGAAGCACAAGAAGCACAAACACAGAAGTCGGCAGAGGAACAAGAGGTCGGGAAGAAGCAGCAGTTCCGAGAGCTCGGGCAGCAGCGACAGCGATGGAGGGGAGCCAGCAGACCTGTCCCCCCAGGAGCTGCTGAGACGGTAGGCCCTGCGGGAGGGTGGGCGGGGTGTCCCCAATGCCCCGAGGCTTCCAAACACACAGCCTGCTTGCTTCAAGGTCAGTGTCAGGGCACTCGCCTGTCACCCCAGCTCTTGGGAGGCTGAGTCAGGAGGATCTCAGATTTAAGGACAATGTGGGTCACACGGCGTGATAGTGTGTCTCAAAAACCCAGAGTGGGGGTAAAATAGAAACAGAGGGAAAGAGATTCAGACCCAACTAAGATGGCCCCCTTTTCAGTTTTAGCCTCCTCCATCGGTCTTCTGTTAACCTTCAAAACTTCCGTGCAAACACACACACACACACACACACACTCACACACTCACACATGCACACACAATACAACTATGTACACATGCACAATCATACACACACATAATCATACCCATGCAGATACACTAATCATAAAAACACACTCATGCGTACTCACACCACGCGTATGCACACAGTCACACATGCAGTCGTACACACATGCAGTTACATACACCCGTCACATTTCAAGACTGATTTATTTGATGTGTATGAGTGTCTGCCTGCACGTGCATGCAGTACCCAGGGAGGCAGGGAGGGGGCGTTGGGTCGGTTGTGGGCTGCTATGCCACCACCTCGTCCTGAACCCAGATCCTCAGCAAAAGCAGTGAGTGTTCCTAACCACAGAGCCGTCTCTCCAGCCCACCCAGGCTGTAACATGAACGGCCTCTGTCCAGTTCCCAGTAGAGCCCTTGTCCCCTCGGAAAGCTCACAGCAGCCCCGCTGTCCTGCCTCTCTGTCCGCACCCTGGTCTGGGAAGGTCCACTCCAGCCGCCTAGAGTTTCTCTGTCTCGTGGCTCCTAACACACTCCTCCCACAAACCAGTTCTAAAGACCCGTGAACCCGGCCTGAGCCCCACTCCTCAGAAGCGATTTTCTGTCACTTTCCTGTGTCACGATAAAAGAAACGGACACAGAACAAATTGAGGGAGGATATAACACGGAAAATGGACCCAGAGACTGATATTGGGGTTCGAGCTTCAAGCTGACGGTCAGAAAAGCAAAGCAGCCAAGCCACCAGCTTCTTACTCCACCTCAGGCCGAATGGCTGATCCTGCCTCCACAAGCTCTCACCAAGCCTCAGACTGAAAGCTCTCCTTGGCGTGGCTGGAGACTGAGTGCTTCTTACTGACTTCTGTCTTTTACATCCCTCCAGTGCTGGGATGAAAGGTGTGAGCTGTAATTCTAGACTGATTCACTCTTGTACAGATCTGGGTAGCCTAGACTCAATCCTCATTATTTATCTCCTTTTGTTCAGCCTGGGAGCCCAGCCCCTGGGACGCTGCCACCCACATCCACGGTGAATCTTCTCAGTTAAACTCCAAATACGGCCACGCCAACAAACGCTACCCACACACCTGTTAGTTAACCCCACTCCCACCTGCTACCGCCCTCCTTGTCTGAGACAGGTCTCACCGTCTGACCTGGGCCAGCCTGGCATTCACTGTGTAGCCCAGGCTGGCCCGAAAGCCGTGGCGATTCTCCTGCCTTTCCCTCTAGAACGCTGGGATTGCAGATGTGAACCTCCAACCCTGGTTCTGACATCATCGCTTGATTGGCAGGACGCTGGCTGCTGTGGGAGCCTTACCCCACAAGCACGGGCTCACTCCGACGAAAGGATTTGTCAGGAGAGTGTCACACCGGGCAGAAAACCCAGGCTGTGTGCTGATTGACATGTAAAACTTACATAAAGACTGAAGGGTATGGTAGCGCACGCCTGTAATCCCAGCACTTGAGAAGAGGTTCAGGAGTTCAAAGCCATCCTGATCTGCACAGCAAGTTTGAGGTCAGTCTGGGCTACAGGAGATCCTATCTAACAAACAAACAGAAACCCAAACCAAGGAAACAAAAACAAGGGCGGACGCCTGAGAGGCAGCAGATGTAGCTGCTCTTGAGGCTTGATCTTTGAGGCCTTTAGGTAGCACTATGTGCTCCGCGCTTTCAGTCACCGTAACAGCCAGGCTAATAACGGGTAACGAGAAAAGGAGCCTCCATTTCAGAGGGTCCAGCAGACGCTCAGGTGTCCCTGCTGATCTGGACCTGGGATGCAGCCGCACACCGAGGTGCGAATGGGGAGCACAGCTAAAGGGAGGAGGCTGAGGTCCCCCGTCTGCTTTAAGAGCGAAGGAGAGTCCTCTCTCTCGTGACCCAAGGCCTCCCACTCGAAAGAGAGTCCTCTCTCTCGTGACCCGAGGCCTCCCACTCTCCACCAGGGAACAACTTGGGAGAGTTACTTGTGGCTCCTGGAGCTCAGACTCAGGTCATGAGGCTTGGGAGCAAGGGTCCTCACCTTCAGGGCCACCTTTCCAGCCTCCTTCTTTCGTCCTTTCGAAAAAATAGTACCTTACCCAGGCCGTGGTGGCACACAGCTTTAATCCCAGCACTCAGAAGCCGGGTGCAGGCGGATCTCTGAGTTCGAGGCCAATCTGGTCTACAGAGTGAGTCCTAGGACAGCCGGGGCTACACGGAGGAACCCTGTCTGGAAAACCAAACAAAAGAGACAGTATCCCGTTATTTATCCCAGCTGGCCTGGATGGGCCGCGCCCGCCAGTCCTCTGAGTACTAGGACTGTCAGGGTGCACAACCATCTCCTGCTAAGCTTCCTCTCTCTCTAGAGGAGTCACGTGTAACTCAGTTGCGCGTGTTTTTCCCTGTCACGCTTACAGCGCTGAGGGTTGAACTGCCTCACCCAAGCCAGTGCTGAGCACGGAGCTGGCTCCTCAAGCCACGATGGAATCACATTTACTAGCTCTCTGCGCTGTGTTGCCTAGGCAACGGTAGCTGGTTGGTCCTTGGCTGTGTGGTGTCCCTTTATGTAAATGACAAATGGAGTGTTGCCTGTTCTGACCTTGGTCTTCTCCCTCGAGGGAAGCCCTACTCTGAGTCAGCTGAGTTGAGGGAGTTTGCAATCTTCTCGTTCCTTTTGTGACAAGGCCTTGCTATCTGGCCCATTCTGGCCTCGAGCTTTCGATCCTGGGACTACAGGTGTGCCCCGCCATGCCCAGCCCCCACTTCCTTGTATTCTGAAGTTGAGATTTCTGGCCGACGACTGGAAAGCTTTGTGGGCCCTGAAGTCAACATGGTTTTTGTCCCTTTCCAAAAGTCCCATGTGAGTTGTGTGAAGCTAGCATCAGAAGACGTTATTAGAAATCCATCCTGGGGGCTGGAGAGATGGCTCAGAGGTTAAGCGTGTTGACTGCTCTTCCAGAGGTCCTGAGTTCAATTCCCAGCAACCACATGGTGGCTCACAACCATCTATAATGGGACCTGGTGCCCTCTTCTGGCCTGCAGACATACATGTACATGTAGAACACTGTATACATAATTAAAAAATAAATCCTTTTAAAAAAAAAAAGGAAATCGATCCTGATACAAGATGTGGGTCTGTGGACCTCACTGTGTGTCCTGGAAATAAAAGAACGGTTTAAAATAAGGACCAAGGAGCTGGAGAAATGACGCAACAGCCGTGCTCTGATGGAGGATCCCAGTTTTGTTCCCAGCCCCACAGCAAGCCGCTGTAACTCCAGTTCTAGGGGAGCTGATGCCCTCCTCCAGACTCCGAGAGCACCTGTGGGCACGCGTACACACACACACATACACACGCACATCACACACATACACACACACATATACGCACAAGCACACACACTGTAAAAATGATAATAATAAATCTGAAAAGATAAAGTGAGGATTAAGGCCAGCCGTGGTGATTCCCACTTGCAGTCGTAACAGTTGGGAGCTGAGGCAGGAGGATTACTGTGCATGGGCTAGCCTGGGCTGTTGTCTAAAGCCTGTATTGAGGGTTAGGAACGTGGCACATTTTATTTCCGGTTGTGTCTCATCCCCTTCTCCCTCTCCCGCTTTCTTCCCAGACTGAAGTGTCTCCCCCTCAGAAGGCAGTAGTGGAGCCCTGCCCTGGCCTGGCCCAGCCAGGAGTCTCCTCCATGACAGACGGACGTCCATCGACTCCCAGCTCTCACATTGTACAGAATGTATTTACATGTAAATTCCTGCTGTAAAATAATTTTTTAAAAACATTTCGCAGGCTGCCCTGGAAGGTTGCAGGAAATGATTTCTATTTTTAACCCCAGTTCCTGTTACAGTGTAAAAGGACTGAGAAGTTTAATTAAAGTGGCTCTTATTTATTTATTTTTTCTAATGTGTCTCTTGCTTTCTCTTGGACTTTCCTGGAGGCCCTACAAAGAAGTGAAGGCTTTTCTCTGGATTTGGTGTTAAGTTGGCCGAGTCCAGTAAGGCAGCTGGGACCCGGAAGAGGAGGGATGGAGGAGGGGGTTGTCGTCCTAGGGCGAGGAGCCCTCTTGGTGGTGGTGCCAGGAGCCCAGTGGGCCGACTGAGCGGGTGGATGTGCACATCCTGGGCCCTACTGGGGGGAGGGGGCAGAAACTCACCTGAGCCAGGCTCTGGTTTCACCCCAGCACTTGGGGGGGGCATGGGGGCAGACTTAGCCACACAATGAGTTCAGAAGAAAATCATGCTGTGTTTAACCCACGTGAGAACCCTTTTTCCTGCCTGTAACTATCACTGGAATTTTTTTTGTTTGTTTATTTATTTTATTTAGGTTAGAGACAATCTTGTTTCACATGTCAATCCCAGCTCCCTCTCCCTCCCCTATCACTGGAATTGTAATGGATCGTCCCTTATAAATACACAATAAATACCCTGGTCCCCAGAAGCCTCACCCTGTTCCATCCAGGTCATTCTGTAACCTATTTGTCAGCCACCTACCAGACACAGAGTGGGTGTGCTGCGAGCCCCTACACAGGCAAAGGGCAGAGACTGACCCGCGACAAGGAGCCAGGGTTCAGGGCGGCCCGAGGGTAGGGTCCCCGGTTTTGGACCCCAGTCTGCAGAGACCATGTGGCCAGAGATGATTTTTTTCCAGGGCGCTCCGCCTTGGGAGCCTCTTCTGTTCCTTTTGGCTCCCGCCTCCCCACTGCTCTCCCCGCGGCTACCTCTCCGTCCTCTCTCCTTTCAAGATGGGGTCTTGCTATGCAGCCCAGGCTGGCCTGGAAAGGAGCGGTCCTGCCTTGAGCCAGGAAGGGGACTGGTACGGGCGAACCCCGGTGCAGCAGCACGTGGATCCGAAGGGCTCGGCGCAGCGGTGGGCGCGCGGTGCCACCGTTCCCCGCCGGGGCCTACGACTGGCCTTGCCGGGCAGGGCAGGCTCCGAGATGGCCTCCCCACCAGCCCCCCGGAAAGCCACGGGGGATGCCAGGAAAGGTTCTGCAGAGAATAGGAAGGGTTCAGGAGAGACCAGGAAAGCTTCTATGGACAGCAGGAAATCTGCCGAGGCCAAGACAGACCCCGGAGAGGCCCAGAAGGGTCCTGGCGAGGTCAGGAGGAGGAGCTCTGCACGGAAGAGCTCCACCAAGGGGAGTTTGGGGGAGGACAGGAGGGTTTCAGTCGGCAGCAGGAGGGTTTCAGGCGATAGGAGGAGGGTTTCAGGCGACAGAACATCAGTCGACAGCAGGAGGATTTCAGTCGACAGCAGGAGGATTTCAGTCGACAGCAGGAGGATTTCAGTCGACAGCAGGAGGGTTTCAGTCGACAGCAGGAGGGGCTCCAGCCAGAACAGACGGAGTTCCAGCGACAGCAGGAGGGGTTCAAGCGCGGACAGGGACAGTTTGTCCTCTATCCCCGTCAGCGTGCGACCCAACAGGTTGCCATTGATCACCCTGATGAAAGCCTTGGGCCGCTTCAAGCTGTCCCTCCCGGAAATCCGTCGGAGCTACAAGCTGGCCCCCCGCGACCCCCTGGCCTTGGACACGGATGTTATCCCGCGTCCGAAATACCACCACAAGGCAGTAGTGAGGAGGTTCTGGGGCAACCACCAGCCCCTCTCCAAGGTCAGAACCACCCGCCAAGGTCGCAGGACGCAAATGACCTTCCCACCACCCGAGTGCCCCCCGCCCGCGACCCCCTCTGCACCCCTGCCACTGCCCGCCTGCCTCTGCAGAGGCCCGTGCAGCCCCCCGAGGACGTGTGCACGCCAGGCCACCCCCTCTGCACCCCTGCCACTGTCCCCCTCTGCAGAGGCCCGTGCAGCCCCCCCCCAGGACGTGTGCACGCCAGGCCACCCCCTCTGCACCCCTGCCACTGCCCGCCTCTGCAGAGGCCCGTGCAGCCCCCCCCTGAGGACGTGTGCACGCCAGGCCACCCCCTCTGCACCCCTGCCACTGTCCCCCTCTGCAGAGGCCCGTGCAGCCCCCCCCCCGAGGGTGTGCACGCCAGGCCACCCGCGACGCCTGCCCCTCGTTCCCACTGGAAGTGAAACCTGTGGGCTCCCAGAGCCCCTGCTAGCCAACGCCTCACCCTCTGCATCCCCAAGCCCTGTGCACCCCCTTTAGATCCCGGGAGCCCCCTCTGCACCTCCGGTGACTTCATCCATCCTACCTTCCTGGAAGCAGAGAGCAAACTCCTCTCCCTCCTTCCAGCGTTCCTTCCCGCTGCTCCCTCAGCTCAGCACTGGGAGTCCTGCTATGCCTTTATCCCATGATTCTCAGCTGTGGGAGGAGCGGGGTAAGGGATGGGCTGTTTTCATCTTATCCCGCACCTTTGGTTTTCAGTTTTGTTGTTATAATTCTCATACAGTCCAACCGAGCAACGTGTACGTTGAAAATGTCTTTTTTTTTTTAGCATTTTCTTTTTTCTTTTTCTTTTTCTTTCTTTCTTTCTTTTTTTTTTTTTTTGAGACAGGGTTTCTCTGTCTTGTTTTGGAGGCTCTCCTGGAACTGGCTCTGTAGACTGGTCTCGAAATCACAGACATCTGCCTGCCTCTGCCTCCCGAGTACTGGGATTAAAGACATGCGCCAACGCCCGGCTTTTTTTTTTTTTTTTTTTTTTTTTTTAGCATTTTCACATCGTGTAGCTGTTACAGCTTTTGGACATTTGTTGTAAAAAAATTATTTTATGTGTAAGAGTGTTGCCTGCATATATGTGTGCACACCATGTGCGGTGGTGCCTGCAGACACCAGACGAGGGCCTCTGAACCCCAGAATGCGAGTTACAGAGAACTGTGAGTTAGTGTGTGGGTGCTGGGAACTGAATCAGGGTACTCTGCAAGAGCAAGGGGCATTCTTTGTTTTGGTTTGGCTTGTTTTTGGGGTTTCCGTAGGCAGAGTTTTCCTATCTTGGGAGTTGCTTCCAAATTACTACACACAGGGTTTTAATACTACTTACAAGTGTTCGGCCAATAGCTCTGGCTTGTTACTAGATAACTCTTACACTTAACTAACTTAAATTAACTCATATTTCTTATCTATGCTTCCCCATGTGGCTCATATATATACATACATACATACTACATACTACATAATACTACATACATACATACATACATGCATACATACATATATATCTGTAGCTGGCATCTCTTGATTCTGCTCTTCCTCTTCCCAGAGTCCTCTGTGTCTGGCTGTCCTGCCTATACTTCCTGTCTGGCTACCGGCCTGCCAGCTTCTCTATTAACCAATGAGAATAAATACATATCCACAGTGTACAGAAGGGTTATTTCATAGCATTTCCCTTTTTTGTCTAATTAGAAAGGAAAGGTTTTTTTACATAGTAAAACTATATATATATATACATATATATATATATATAAAACAACAGTTACTAAGTAACAATTACAGTTACAAGCTAGTTCAGTCAGTAGAGCCCGAGACTCTTAATCTCAGGGTTGTGGGTTCGAGCCCCACGTAGGGGCTCAGATGAAGCATTACTCTGTTCTTTATCAATAAAAACTGGGGAGTCAGATCCTGGGGTAAGAGCTTGATAGATCAGAGAAGCAGGGAAGCCAACCAGTCCTCCCTGCTCCCTTCCTTCCTCCGAGCAGAGAGCCAGATCCCTTTCCAGCCCACCTTACTACTTCCTGTCCTATCTGTCCCCAGTCTTCCAAAACCTCTGTGGCTAATCCTGGTCAGCTAACGGCTAGCTCCACCCTCTGACTTCGAGCAAACTTATTTGTCAGGGCATGCTCAAAATGCCACGCAACAGGCTTCATTCACTGTGTTTCCCTGGCTGTCCTGGAACTCACTCTGTGGACCAGGCTGGCCCAGGACTCACAGAGATCCACCTGCCTCTGCCTCTGTAGTGTTGAGTTTAAAGGTGTGTACCCCATGCCTCGTGCAAGAAGCCCTCTTAGCTGTTGAGATGTCTTTCTGGCCCCCGTGTTTAACTTTTGAAAGAGCGGTCTTTTTGTAGAGCTCCCTGCAGGCATTTGGCCCCAAGTAAACACACAGATGCTATATTAGTTATAAAACTGTTGGCCGGTGACTAGGGCTTCCTATTAGCTAGCTCTGGCTTAATTATTAATCCATTTCTATCAATCTATATATTGCCAAGAGGCTGTGGCTTACCCGGTAATGCCCCAGCACGGCATTACTCCTCTGGCAGCATCGAGAATCTGTGGTGGGCTCCGGCTGACTGCCTTTCCCAGAATTCCCCTCCTCCTAGTCCCGCCTGTCTTTCTGCCTTATTGGCCGAACAGTGTCTTACTCATCAAACAATAAGAGAAACATAAAGGGCTTCCCACATCACCGCCTAGCTGTTTTCTGAAGTGGCTACCCATTCCTACATTCCCGCCAGCAATGTGTGAGGCTCTGATTGGTCTACAAGCTTGCCCGTACTTACTAGGAAGTCATAATGCATACGACATGATATCACTCTGAAGCTCATGCTTGCATTTCCTGGGTGATCAATGATGCTGGCAGTCTGTCACATTATCTGTCACCCGACCGCTCAAATGTCTTTGGAGAGAAACGTCTCTTCAGTCCTCGGCTCACTTGTTGGTACAATGCCCTCCCGCCTACCACGCACGGGGATGGGAGGGGGCTTATGCCTCAGCACGGCATAAGGCAGGTACGGTGGTACACGCCGGTAGTCTCAGCACTCAGGAGGTGAAGGCAGGGAGAACACAAGTTGAGGGTTTGGGGATGGTGCGGCAGGTAACAGCTACCCAAGCCTGTTGGCCTGAGTTCAGTCCCCAGGCCCACACGATGGAAGGAGAGAAGCAGGCCCCTCATTTGTGCTCTGACTGCCACATGTAATCAGGGCATCCACATACATACCAAATAAGTACAGTAAATAAAACAAGGGAATTCAGGCTGGAGAGATGGCTCAGAGGTTAAGAGCACCGGCTGCTCTTCCAGAGGTCCTGAGTTCCATTTCCAGCAACCACATGGTGGCTCACTACCATCTGTAATGAGATCTGGTGCCCTCTTCTGGCCTGCAGGGATACATGCAGGCAGAACACTGTGTATATAATAAATAAATTTTTTTAAAAAGTTAAAAAAAAAAGGGAATTCAAGGTTATCCTTGACTATGTAGCAAGTTCAAGGCCAGCCTGGGCTACACAAAATAACTCAATTCAAACAGAAAGAGGGAGGAAGGGAGGAAGGGAGGGGGCTGTGGGGATGACTCAGTAATTTAAGTTCTCAGAGTGCAAACCAGAGGACTGGAGTCTGGAACCCCAGAGCTCTTGCAAATGCTGAGAGGGTGTGGCAGGCCTCCCGCAATCTCAGTTTCCTAAGGAAATAAACCTGGGCAAAGCTGGGTAGACACACTCGCCCTACCTGTAAGCACCGAGTTTGGTGGAGGATCTTTGTTTGAGAGATCTTGCCTCAAAAAATAAGGCAGTGTGGAGAAAGATCCCTGGTATCAGCTGGGGTCTCCTCAGACACACGTGGTGTGCCCCCCACATGTGAATGTGCACATACGATAGTGCACCCCCCACACACACACAAAGAAAACAACACGATCAGATAAAATTAGTTCTTAATCGTTGAGTTTTGGGTTCTTTAGCATTCTAAATACATGCTCCATATCAGATACGTAATTTCTTAATGGGGTCCTCTGTAACACAAAGGTTTTTAATTTTTTTGAAAGATTTATTTATTATGTATACAGTGTTCTGCCTCCAGGCCAGAAGAGGGCAGCAGATCTCACTACAGATGGCTGTGAGCCACCATGTGGTTGCTGGGAATTGAACTCAGGATCTCTGGAAGAGCAGCCAGTGCTCTTAACCTCTGAGCCATCTCTCCAGCCCTGGTTTTTAATTTTTTTCAAAGGTTTTTTTTTTTAATTTAACTGAATTGAATTCATTTTTTTTTTTTTTAGATAGAACCTCATGTATCCTTGAATGGCCTGGAACTCTCTCTGTAGACCAGGTTGGTCTTGAACTCACAGAGATCCGCCTGCCTCATCCTCCTGAGTGCTGGGATTTGTAGGCAGAGTTTTTCTGTCCTGGCAGCCGCTTCCCAAATAGCCAGTCAGAGGCTTAATATTAATTATAAATGCTTGGCTGATAGCTCAGGCTTATTACTAACTAGCTCTTACAGCTTAAATTAACCCACTTCTACTAATCTAAGCATTGCCAGGTGGCTCGTGGCTTTACCTCTCCTCCAGCAAGTCTTTTCCTGCTCTGCGTCTCCCGGTGACTCCTCTGACTCCTTCCCTTCTTCCCAGCATCCTGTCTGCCCCTAAAATCCTGCCTAGGTATTGGTCAGTCAGCTTTTCTTTTCTTTTCTTTTCTTTTTTTTGTTACCAGTGAGAGTAACACATTTTCACAGTATACAGAGGGATCATTCCACAGCAGGGATTAAAGACTTGCTCCTTGGGTGTGGAGAGTGAGTTTAGCATTTCCGAGCTGTTCTTCTAGAGGACCAGCGTCCAAATCCTAGCACCCATATCAGGTGGCTCCCATCGCCTCTGAACCCAGCTCCCAGGGCACAGATGCCCCTGACTGGCACAGACACTGGCACTCACACGTGCCCACCTCCTCACACATAAATACAACAACCACACCTTTAACGGTGGCCACTGCAATGCCCAGCGAGCTTTATTTGTTGACGAAGGGTTTTAAGACTCGCTTTCTCCCTGCTGTCATTCCCACCCCCCCCCCCCCACCCCCCACCAAGAACACAGGCATGAAGGTTTTTAATTGTGATGGAGTCGGCTTATCTATTTCTGTTGCTGTGGTTTGCACTTTCTGTGTCGGACCGAAGCCACCTCTAAGGCAGGAGTGTGAGTATTTACACCTTGGCCCTCTTCTAAGAGCCTTAGAGTTGCAGTGTGTCGCGTTAAGTCCTCGGTCCATTTTGATCTTATTTCTGTATGTGGTGTGAGTTATGTGTCCGGCTTTGTTTCCTTATGTGTAAGTAACCGGGTTTCCGGGGAAGGGGGGGAGGGATGTGCTTAAAGGGGCTATTCTCTCCTATTTGTGTGTGCGTGTATACTAGCATACATATATGTGTTCAGGTGTGTGTGTACGTGTATGGGCGTGTGTGCATGTGTGTATGTGCGTGTGTCTGGAGAGGAGAGGACAATTTGTTAGAGTTGGTGTCCTCTACTTCCACTATGTGGGGACTGGGATTTGAACTCAGGTCACCCGCCTTGGTGACAAGCGCCTTTAACCTCCGAGCCATCTCACCCACCCACAGTTTGGGGTCTTTCTGAATTCCCACAAAAGCTTTGGGATCAGTTTGTCAGCTGGACTGGAGAGGTGACTCAGGAGTTAGGAGTGTGTGCCTCTCTTCCAGAGGACCCAGGTTCAGTTCCCAGCACCCGTGCTGGGCGGTAACGGACTGTGACTCTGCATCCAGGGGATCCAGTGTGGTCTTCTGGCTTCCCCGTGCACTGACATCCATGGTATATACTCACACAGACACATAAATAAAAACTTAGAATTCCTGCAAATAGACCGGACGTTGGTGGCGCATGCCTTTAATCCCAGCACTCAGGAGGCAGAGGCAGGCGGATTTCTGTGAGTTCCAGGTTAGCCTGGTCTACAGAGCGAGTTCCAGGACAGCTAGGGCTTCATGGAGAACCTGTCTCAGACAATAAAAAGTGGAAATAAAAGCGCATATAAAGAGATCACCTTGTCACTGTCTGCAAATACATCATATCATCTTGGAATCTGATAAGGTGATATTGAATTTGTACGTCATTTTGAGGGGCTCTACTGTTTTAACATTATCACACCTGCTTATCTATCATCATGGGATGCCTTCCTATTTATCTAAGTCTTCAGTTTCTCTTCCTTCTCCTTCTTCTTCTTCTTCCTCTTTCTCTTCCTCTTCCTCCTCCTCTTAAAAGATTTGTTTATTTTATGCACATAAGCGCTCTGCCTGCATGTATGCCTTTATGCCAGGAGAGGGCACCAGATCTCACTAGAGGTGGCTGTGAGCCACTATGTGGGTGCTGGGAATTGAACTCAGGGCCTCCAGGAAAAGCAGTCAGTGTTCTTGACCACTGAGCCATCTCTCCAGCCCCCATCTCCAGTTTCTTTCAACGATGTTTCATTATTTTCAAGGTATGCATTTCACACAGCTACTTTCTGCCTGTCAACTTTGTAGTGGGAGGATTTCCTTGCCGGGTTCCCCCCCCCCCCAGGTCACATGTTGAGAAGCACTGTTGGTTTTTGCATATCGTCCTCGTGCCCTGAAGCTGAGCTGGCTGTGTCCATCCTTGTGTTTAGGTCCCGTATAAAATTCTGCTGGGGCACAGCCACATCGTGAGTTCCTGCCACTTCTGCATGAGTGACACGAGGCTCCTCAGTAGCTCCTACGACTGCTCGGTGAAACTGTGGGTAGGTGGCCAGGTGGTGGGCTCTCTCGAAGCTAGGTCAAGACCCTAGTTCAGGGACAGGCAGCATGTAGCTCTGGACACAGCTTTGGGGTGGGGATCCGCAGACTACGGCTTTGGGGCGGGGATCCTGGTTGTTCCTGGGATCACTGATCTACATCTTATTTTTCTTAATTTTAGATATATTTATTGTATATGTTTGGGTGTTTTCCCTACCTATCCCTGCTTCAGCCAGGAAGAGAGCATTGGATTTCCTCCTGGAACTGGAGTTGGGAGGCTCCATGTGGGTGCTGGGAATTGAACCCAGGTCCTTTGGAACAGCAGACAGTGCTCTTAACCACTGAGCCATCTCTCCAGTCCCAAGTTTAATTCTTGTTTGGAGCTAAAGTAACTCAGGTTGGCTTCGAGCTCATAGTCTTCCTGCCCTGAGCTTCCTACACGCAGGAATCCCACCCTTGGGTGAACTCTTACTTCTCAGAGTCTCCTTTGCATCTGGCAAACCCAACCTTTGTGTACCGATCCTGTATCCTGCAGTTGTGCTAAACTATTTTTGTCTACCCTGCTTTCATTTTCTATCTTCCTGTTTTCTTTTTACTTTTGCGCATGTGCGTGTGTCTGTATGCATGTGTGCCATGCGCATGCAGGTTCTCTTGGAGACCAGAGAGGGCACTGGGCTTTCTGGAACTGGAGTTAGAGGTGGTTGCGGCCTGCCCAGTGTGGGTGTTGGGGAACTGACCTCAGGCGTTCCGGCAGAGCAGAAAGCACTCTTAACCACAGAGCAGTCTCTTCAGCGCCCTGATTTTTTAAATGTCCTGTATAAAATTCCTATGGGGCTTAAGCACATTGTGAATTCCTTCCACTTCTGTGATATCCAGACCTTGGGTGCTCGAACGCTTGGGGAGCAGCGGCGGCGGCGGGGGCGGCGGGTGAGGGGTTAAGGGAGATGTTCAGACAAGGCTGCAGAGGGGCAGCCTCTGGACTGCTTCTGGGACTTCCTGTCAGTGTCCGGCAGGCCTGGGCAGGTCTGTATGGCAATGTTGCCCGAGGAGCGGGAGCAGGGATGGAGGGTGGCATTGGGCATCAAGGGCTTGGCTGAAGGTGACTGTGGGGCTGGGGTCACATGGGAGGGACGCTCTGTTCTGGGTTTTGCTACCTTGTGGTTTGAGTCGAGCAGAGGGCCGGGTGGGAGACCGCCAAGGATGGTTCAGGTTCTGGTTTGGTTCAGGTTCTGGTTTGGTTAACTGGACACGGCCGAGTCCCTGGTCCTACAAATGGCTTCAGAGGAATATCTTGTCATCTGTGGATGGCAAGGCCCAGGCTGGTCAGGTCAGGGTCTGGGACTATCCCAGGTTAGCTCAGACCCTGTGTTGGGGACCCACCAGCTGTGTGACCCTGGGTGGTTGATAGGACCTCCTGAGGACCAGCCGTTTCTGGGGCTGCCCTGCGGACATTGGACTGCAGCTCTCTCGGGGTCCCTGTAAGCCTTTTCTAGCCCTCAGTAGTCACAAGTGGTCCCCAAGGCAAGGGATAGGGCACTGTCACTGTGTGCATTTGCTGGGCAGTCTTCACGTTTTTCCGCTTCTGCACGTTTGGCTTGGAAGGCTCTGGACTCTCCATCGGGGCACAGTGAACAGAAAGCACTACCTGGAGTCTCGTCTGTGGCTGCTGTGCCTCCTTTTGCCCACATGGTGGCACTATTGAATCCTTAATAGGCTCAGCCGGTCTGCTTAGTGCTGCTCTTTGCAGACAACCCAGCCCAGACTTCGAGGCCATGTAGCTCCCAATCCCATAGGTTTTTTTTGTTTTTGTTTTTGTTTATGTTTTCCTTTGGATCCCAGGTGGTCAGCACTAACCCTTCTTCCCGAGCCCAGGACACCAGCCTGAGTGTCCTGCCTGGCAGAGTTCCGTTTGGGGAACTCCAGGCTGCCCCTGCCTACCAGGATTTCCGGACCATGACCATGTGTCTTGTGGACCAGGCGGGGCGGGGCGGGGCGGGGGAGGGGGCTGGGTGTGTGCAGAGCAGCCACTACAGGCCAGGTTTGCAAAAGCCACTGGCAAGCCGGCTTGTGTACACTGCCGTCCTGGAATTCGTGCTCATCAGGCAGAGCGTCCTCGGGACTGGTCTCCCTTCCCCAGGCTCTCAAGCCGGGTTCTGGCACAGCCCTCTGGTAGACACCACTGGGGACGCTGAGCCTCGAGATCGCCCACAGGAAGACTGGTGAACACCGGTGCTGGGCTCCTCTGGACTTTGCCCCCCACCAGAACCTTCTTGCTCTTCGCTGCTCTTGAACGTCGCTGTCTTTGTAGGGGACGTGAACGTCTTGCTTGCACGAATGTGTGTGCACCGTGTGCCTGCCTGGTGCCTACAGAGGCCAGAAGAGGGCTGTCTGATCCCCTGGGACTGGATGGTTGCTATCAGCCATGGCGGACTGGGAACTGATCTGCGTCCTGTGAGGAGGCGTGTTCTTAACCACTGAGCCATCTCTCCAGCCCTACATACATCTTTACTTAAAAAAAAAAAAATTAGCCGGGCGGTGGTGGCGCACGCCTTTAATCCCAGCACTCGGGAGGCAGAGGCAGGCGGATCTCTGTGAGTTCGAGGCCAGACTGGACCGACAGCCTCCAAAACAATACAGAGAAACCCTGTCTCATAAAAAATAAATAAATAAATAAAATAAAAACAAAAAATCACACTGTATATATGTGTCTTTTACAAGTGTGACTGTGTCACGTGTGTGTGTGTGTGTGTGTGTGTGTGTGTGTGAAGTCAGAGGACAACCTTCTGGAATGAGTTCCTTCCACCACGTGAGTCCTTGGGACTGAACTCAGGTCATCAGGCTTGGTGCAAGTATCTTTTGCCCATCTGGCCCTCTCGCTGGCCCTGGTACTTATATGCCTTTAACCACAAGTCCGGTTATTTCCTTGGGAGGGGATTGCTGGGTCAAAGGGCGTGGAATTATTTTTAAAAGGGATTCTTGATGGGTGCTGGTAATGTGACGCCTCCTTGGCCAGCACACAATGGGAAAATGACCGTGAGTCCACTCCCAGCGTGGTCAGGGCCGGGCGGTACCCATGGAACTGTGTGTATGTGTGTGTGGGGGGGTCTTGAGGATGCTGCCGGTGATGGAATGTCCCTTATGCTTAGGATCTTGGAAAGCCCCAGAGCTCTGCTGCAGGCCAGCTAGGAACTCCTGCTGACCCGAGTTCATGACTCCCACGCCTAAGCCCTGACCACTGTCTCTCCTCTCTCCCCCGCATTGATTTGAGAATGCCGTCGATGGATCTGTGCTGTGGGATTTTGAGCCGCGACCCAAAGCTCCTGTTTTAGAATGCAGCATCACAGCTGACAACAGAAGGTGACATCTGCTCTGTTTGAGAAGAGTGAGAGTCAGCAGGCGGGCCAGGGTACCTTGTCGGGTGGGCGGAGACAGGTTTTTGTTTGTTTGTTTAAGCAAATATACAACCACGAGTCTGCTGCGTGGGCCTCAGTGTTTCCATGTGCCCTGAGAATCAAGAGGGAGCAACAACGTAGCAACATTCTGAAAATGTAAATTGCTTAAAATAGAACACTGGCTGTGGTTAAGAACCCAGGCTTCTTTTTCTTTTCTTCCTTCCTTTCTTCCTCCTCCTCCTCCTCCCCTTCTCCCTCCCTCTTCACCCTCCTCCCCCTCTATCTCCCTTCTCCCCCTTCCTCTCCTCTCCCTCTCCCCTCTCCCTCTCCCTCCCTCTCTCTTCTCCCCCTCCTCCCCCTCCTCCCTCTCCTTTCTCCTCCTGCTTCTTTGAGACAGGGCCTCACTGTACAGAACAGTCAGACTTAAAACTCCCTGTGTAGCGCAGCCTGCCTCAAACTTGGAGCCATCCCCCTGCCTCAGCCCCCTCCAGGTGCTGGGAGGACAGGCATGCCCCCATGAAACTATGCTTGAATTTTCCTCGTGAAGTGCCTTTTTTCTGCGGTCACATGAAGCCTGTGGCAGCTGCACCAGAGCTCTGTGATCTAGCCTGGGCCCTTGTCTCAGTCAAGGTCACTATTGCTGTGTTGACACACCGTGGCCAAAAAGCAAGTTGGGGAGGGGAGGGTTCATTTGGTTTACCCTTCAGCATTGCTGTCCATCACTGAGGGAAGTCAGGATGGGAACTCAAAGCAGGGCAGGAACCCGGAGGCGGGAGCTGATGCAGAGGCCATGGAGGGCGCTGCTTACTGGCTTGCTCCTCATGGCTTGCTCAGCCTACCTTCTTGCAGAACCCAGGACCAGAAACCCAGGGATGGCTCCACCTGCGATGGACTGAGCCTCCCATTAATCACTAGTTTTTTTAAAAGATTAATTTATTTATTATATATACAAAGTTCTGCCTACATGCCAGAAGAGGGCACCAGATTGAATTGTAAATGGCTGTGAGCCACCATGTGGTTGCTGGGAATTGAACTCAGGACCTCTGGAAGAACAGTCACTGGTCCTAACCTCTGAGCCATCTCTCCAGCCCCAATCACTAGTTTTTAAAAAATGCCCCACAACCTATTCTCATGGAGGTGTTTTCTCCATTGAGATTCCTAGCCTCATTTTTGTTAAGATTTATTTATTTGTTTTCTAAAGATTATTCTTTTTTTACACTTTTTTATTATATATTTAAATTAGAAACAAGCTTGCTTCCTGTGTCAGTCCCAGCTCCCTCTCCCTCCCCTCCACGCCCGCTCCCCCCAGCCCCCCACCCAATCCCCACTCCATTCCCCAGGGAGGGTGAAACCCTCCACGAGGGATCTCCAGAGTCTGTCATTTCATCCAGGGCAGGCCCAAAGTGTCCAGACTGAGAGAGCATCCCTCATTGTCGGATGGGCACCCAAAGTCCATTTGGACGCCAGGGATAAATACTGATCTACTACCCAAGGCCCCGTAGATTGCCTAGGCCTCCTCACTGACACCCACATTCAGGGGGTATTTTTAGTTTATGTGTATGAGTGTTTTGCCTGTATGAATGCAGAGGCCAGAAGAGGGCGCCAGATCCCCGGGGACTGGATGGTTGCCAGTCACCACGTGGGCACACGGAATGAAACCCAGGTCCTCTGTAAGAGCAGCCGGGGCTCGTTTGTAACCTCTGAGCCGTCTCTCTAGCCTCTAAAAATGTTATTTTTACACTCTTGAATGTAGGAGACTATTTTGGGGAGTCTCAAAGGCAGATAATGGTGCCAGACTGTCGCCGATGCTACCAGGTACCATTTTCAGCGGGGTGGCGCAAGTCCCCAGCGCCGTTTGCAGAGAGCCTTTGGAAAGAGCCATCTTGGTCCTAAAGTACAAGAAAGGACTAAGACTCCTCACAGGAGCCCCAGTGACACCATCGTCAAGACGCAATGTTTGCTCGATTCTTCCAGGGTCGTGGCATCGTCTTACGACAAAACTGTGAGGGCTTGGGATGTCGAGACGGGGAAGCTTCTGGTAAGTATGCCCTGCCTCAGGGAGGGTCATGAGTGGGCTTCGGGGGCTGTGGGCTGGACCTAGGGTTGGGGGACAATGGCAGGAGCCCCAGGCCTTCCAGGGAGAGCTCGTTCTCACCTGCAGAGCTAGGGAATGCATTGACAGCAGGAGGGTATCAGGCAAGAAACGCTCCCACCCCAGGCAGGTCAAGTGGGAGGAGATGGAGAGCGGGCTGGGCGTGGCACCTCCCCCCCTGCCCCGGGGTTTCCCTGAGAGCCATTTGGAGCAGGAAGTGGGGCTGAGGCTGCAGACCAAAGGCACAGCGGCTGATATAACCAAAGTTTCAGGGCTTCCCCCGTCTCCTCTCCGTGTCACAGACGGGGCCACTACCCACCTCTCCCAACAGTTCCGGGGTTCCTTTCTTCTCTCAGCCGCGCTCAGGGGTCCCCTGGCACCTCCAGCCCCAACTCTTGCTACCCACACTTAACTAACTTCCCCTGCTTCTCTCTCAGCCCGTCTTCATCACCTCCCTGTCGACTTTCCTTAAAGACAATCTTTCCATCCGGGCGTTGGTGGCGCACACCTTTAATTGCAACTCAGGAGGCAGGGGCAGACAGACCTCTGTGAGTTCAAGGCTAGCCTGGTCTACAGAGCGAGACACCTTTCCAAGAACACACACACCTCTCTAAAGTGTTGCAGTGGTGGTGTATACCTATGATCTCAGCACTGGGAAGAGAGAGAAACCAACCTTGTGTCAAGAATGAGGACCGATGCCCAGTGTTTTTTTCTGACTGCCCAAGTGCAGCTTGGTATCTGTGTGCCCACAGACACACAGACATGCACACAGACGGACAGACACACACACACACACATGCACAGACACAGACACACAGACATACGCATGCACACACACACACACACACACAGAGAGAGAGAGAGAGAGAGAGAGAGAGACTTCTATGGATCACTCCTGATTTTGAACATTGTTTCCAAATGTCTATTTTTTTTTCTGCTGTGATTTTCCCACTGTTGTCTTTGGCTAACATTTTTATTTAAAGTACCTTTCTTTGTTTTTTTTTTAAAGCCCTTTTATTCATTTTTTAATGGCACAAGTCACCCATGACCTTGGCCAGCATTAGGGGTGGGGTGACTTAGCGCATGAAGGCTGCTTGACAAATGGCTCCGAAACTTGGTTGCTTTAAACAGCCAACATTTTTTTTTCTTAATCTCACACCGTTTCCAGAAATCTAGAAGCAGCTTCACAGGGTGGTTCTGGCTTCAGTCTCTTCCTAAGCACAGCGAGGATGTCATCTGGGGCTACAGTTGTGCTGAGGCCCGCTGGGGCAGAGGGATCCCCTTCCAAGATGGCAAGCTCCCACAGTTGTTGGCAGGAGGCCTCTGTTCACATCCTTGTGGATCCCCAGGGGCGTGTGTCCTTAGGACATGACAGTTAACTCTCATGAGCATGTGATCCAAGAAAGAACAAAGAACAAGTCACAATTATCCCCCTCTCTCTCTCTCTCTCTCTCTCTCTCTCTCTCTCTCTCTCTCTCTCAGATTCAGGTTGACCTTGAACTCAAAATCTTCCTGCCCCAGCCCTGCCATGACCTGTCTTCCTCTCTCCTTCCCTCCTCCCCCTCCCCCCAGCCCCGTGTCCCTTGGAGGTAGGATCTCACTTGTAGCCAAGGTTGGCTTAGAACCTGCCATCCTCCTGCTTCAGCCTCCCAAGTGCTGGGATTACAGAGCTGATCCATCACTCCCAGCTTCAGTGGTTTCTTTCCTAATGTAGAGTCCCCCATGGTCCCTTCTGCCATATTCTATCCAGCAGAAGTGAGCTTTGGTCTGGCCATCTTTAATAAGGGGGCGGCTGGGCTCAGCCCGTTGGAGGGAATCTGAGGGCACGCCTTGAAGCTGGAGGCTCTGCCTCATTCCAGTGGAAAGTCAGGCATGACACCTTCGTAGTGTGCTGTAAATTCTCTCCCGACGGAAAGTACGTGCTCTCTGCCCTGGACGTGGATCGTGGGATCTGCTTAATGGATCCAGAAAACATCACCAACTTGATCCAAGTCAAAGGTGAGGTTGCCAGGCTCCCTATACACAGCAGCTGTGACTTACCACTTGATGAGCAGGGGACTTCACCTGGTTTCTACAGCGAGAAGGCCAGGGGGGAGGGCCGCACGAGGAGCCCTGCATGTTACTGCAGGACGTGGAGGCAGGGGGTGGGGGTGGGGGGGGAGTTCAACATGTGTCTTAAGCCCCGCACCTACGTCTTTAAGATGTAAGATTAGCAGCCACCACAGATCAATTTCCTGCTGTTGCGATGCAGTGTGCAACCACGGGGGGGGAAGCATGCAGAATTTCTCCGCGCTATTCCTTATACTGACACGGTAACTTTGCAGTTTTCTCAAAGTGAAAATTAATCGAGAAACCCCTTCATTGTTTAAAAAACAAAAACAAAACTCAATAAGTGAAAGCTGGCTGAATCTGTCTTATATTCTTCTTGGAAGTATTTATTGTTATTTTGTATGTATGTGTTGAGGTGACGGAACTGGGGTTTTGAACATTCCAGGCACACCCCAGCCCCTCACTGGGGGATTCTAGGCAGGGTCTCTACCACTGAGCCACACCTTCAGCCCCTCACTGGGGGATTCTAGGCAGGGGCTCTACCACTGAGCCACACCCCAGCCCCTCACTGGGGGATTCTAGGCAGGGGCTCTACCACTGAGCCGCACCCCCAGCCCCTCACTGGGGGATTCTAGGCAGGGCCTCTACCACTGAGTCACACCCCAGCCCAGAGGTATTACTAATAGTGCATTGCTAGGTGACCTTTCTGAATGTGTGTGTGTGTGTGTCTAGTTGTGTCTTTGGTTTTTATCCTATTACTTTTCATCACTTTAATGAACCACTGTCTAATCTCCCTTCCCGTCACTCTCCCAAGTCCGAGTCACACACCCATCTTCTCCCCGTCCCTATCCCATCTCCAGAAAGGACACCCTTGATGACTTAAACCTCTGTGCGCTCCTCTCACGACTCTTGGCATGAAGCAAGCGGTAACCTGCTCAGGGCTTTCCCTCCCATTGAGCCGGGGGGCTGTGTGGCTCCATGCGGCACGGTAGAAAAGCAGGAAATGCTTGGGAGAAAACAGTGATCGCCCCTGCCGCATCACTGGGGTGGTAGAGCCTTTCTCCTGAGGTCATATGTCACTCTGCTTGTGCGCAGATCACCACAAAAGGTCCATCACAGCCTGCTGCTTTGACCCCGACAGCCAGAAGGTGGCTTCCGTCTCTATGGACAGGAGCATCAAGATCTGGGATATCACGTCGCAGGCCACGCTGTTTACCATACCCAAGTGAGAAGGGTCCGGCGAGGGGGGTTGGTGTGGGCAGCAGCGCCCCGCAGCAGGAAGGTGGGAGAGAAGTCTGTCTGCATTCCCTCCTGGATTCCGTATACAAGCATTGTCCCAGTGGAGGTGTCTCCAGGGTGGTCCCACGGTGGGGAGTCCCAGGAGGCCAGAGAGAAGCCAACCGGGGTAGCTTAAGGGCTGAGCCAGGCAGAGTCTCAGAAGCATTTGCTTCAAGGTGAGCTCTTACCCGCAAACTTGCCCGGAGCCTCCACGAAAACGCGAAGTTTCGGGGCCAGGGGTGGTGGCATCCGCCTTTAATCTCGGTGCTTAGGGAGGGCACAGAGGCAGGCAGATGTTGGCGAGGTTGGGAGTTCCGCCGGGTGTACATCCCGACAGCCAGAGCTACGCGGTGAGAACCCCCGTCTCAAAACAGCCACACAGCGAAGTGTGCAAGCCAGGCACGGGGGCACATGCCGGCCATTCCAGCAGGTGGAGGCGGAGGACTAAATGTTCGAGGCCAGTCTAGGCTACTTGGTGAGGCTCGGGTCTAAAATGGGAAGCTAAGGATCCAGGCGACCCCTGCTGGTGGCCGCTGTCCAGTGGGCGAGCCCTCTGGGGCAGGTGCTTGTGTCCAGATTGCAGACTGTGCACACACCTGCCTGCCCTGCTCCCTTCCTCCTCCTCCTCCTCCTTGGGCCGGCTGCGGTGAGCATGGACTGAGGTTACCGCAGAGGAAGAGGGCCCTTTGCGCGTGCGGTATCACATGCGCCCCGCTTCCACGGCTCCTTAGAGCCACTCTGTGCCGGCACCGAGGGATGGGCCGCAGAGGTGCTTAGGGAGGGCACAGTAGGCAGAGTTACAGGCTATGGGCAGAAGCCTTGATCCATTTTGCTCCGTTGCGCTAAGGAACCCTGTGGCGGCGGCTGGCAAAGTCGGGTTAAACGCATGCCTGGAAAGAAGAATGGAGAGGTGAGGGGGGTCTCAGTGTCTCAGCGCAGGGGTCAGCTTTCCGGGATGCGGTTTCTAGGCCGTGCTTCATTGTATGCGTGGCTTTTGACGTGACTTAAATTCTTAGCCACTTTTGGTGAGAGCAGGTGGCTTTTTTTTTTTTTTTTTTGGTTTTTCGAGACAGGGTTTCTCTGTGGCTTTGGAGGCTGTCGTGGAACTAGCTCTTGTAGACCAGGCTGGCCTCGAACTCGCAGAGATCCACCTGCCTCTGCCTCCCAAGTGCTGGCATTGGCTTTTGTTTTTTGATCTATACATCTATGAGGATGCGAGTCAGAATACAGCACCAAGCTCGAAAGGTGCAAGAGAAGATACGGGGAAGTTTCCCCTCCCCAGCAGCTACTACCTTCTTGCGTGTCTGTCACACTGTGCAATATGCCCGTTGAGAGTAACTTTAGGGGCCAGCAAGATGGCGCAGCTGCTGGAGGGGCTTGCTATCAAGGCCAGTGACTCGAGTTCGGTCCCTGGGCCCACACGGTAGAAGGAGAGGAATGACTCCCGCAAGTTGAACTCTGATCAGCCACACTCATTGTGTTACTCTCTCTCTCTCTCTCTCTCTCTCTCTCTCTCTCTCTCTCTCTCTCACTAAATAATAAAGTAACAAAAAATAAAATTAACCAAGTAGTTTGGGGGAGATGTCACTTTCATTATTTATGATGAAATGCATGCAACATAAATTTTGACCATTTTTTTTAATAGCGCACAGTTCACTGGATTAACAATCACATTCACGGTATTTTGCAACCTTCCCTGTCTATTTCGAAAAACGTTTCTCCACACCAAAGGAAACTGTATCCATTAAGCAATACTTCCCGCTCCCCCCGAAGCCCCTGGGAGCCCTTATTTCACTCCTGCCCCTATGAATTTGCCTAGCTTAGATATTTATATAAATGAAATCATATCTGTCCTCAAGTAACTGGCTTCTTCCACATACTATCTTCAAGACTTATCCCTGCTGCAGCATATAGCAGAACTCCATTTCCTAACTGATTATAATGCCAGCATATATTAATATACACATATATACATATATATATTGATACACTTATACCATGTTTTCTTTATTGGTCTGTTGATGGGTACTTGCTTTGTATATATATATATACACACGTGAATATAAACACACACACACACACACACACACACACACACATATATATATATATGTATATGTAAAGGGAAGCCTTCCCGCCAGCCTGGTTCTAGAGCCACATCAGTCCCAAATGAACACACAGGAAGCTATATTAATTATGAAGCTGTTGGCCTTGCTTGTTTCTTACTGGCTAGCTCTGACTTAAGTATCTATCCCATAATTGCTAATCTAAGCATTTCTCTTACTGGAGAGGTTTCCGGGCTTCCTACCCCATGGCGTTACATCTTGACTCCCTGTGTTTCTCCTACCCAGAGTCCTCCTGGACTCCTAGTCCCACCTATCTTACTTCCCTATTGGCCAACAGTGCTTTATTGACATATACACAGGACTTCCCCCATCATATATATAATGTAATTATTGATTCTTTGGGAATTTCATGCACCCCAATCCTGATTATCTCCCAGCCTCTCTATATCTGTCCCTCACCCCTGCAGTGTCCCCCACTAAAAGAAAATCCTCCCAAATTAATTAAAAAAAACAAAACAAACAAGCCACCTCCTTCCTCCATCTTTCCCATCTCTCCAGCACTGGGAGCCACGGTATGTCACGCAGTATACCCTTTTATCCAGTCGGCCCCACCTGCAGATGTTCATTGCAATGAGTCACTGGTCTGGTTATGGCCTCTGGGATTTGGCACACCATCATCATCCAACCCTTACTGAAATTCCTCTTGGATACCCTGCTACGGACACTTGTTGATGTTGTTTTTTTTTTTCTAATGCATCTATTTGAGTTCCTGTTTTAAATTCTTCTGGAGATGGTGGGTCAAATGGCAGCCCTATTTTATGTTTACCTTTGTTAATTTTTAAAGCTTTTACTTATTATTTCGAGTGAATGGGTGTTTGGCCCGCATGTCTGTCTGTGCACTACATGTACGTGTACAATGCCTGTGGAGGCCATAGAGGGTGGGGGATCTTCCGGAACTGGAGTTACAGACAGTTGCGAGCAGCCATCACTAGAACACCGAAGAAAAGTGAAGTCTGTGATTTGCATGTATCTTTCTCCCATGTCTGGCTTCCCATCTAATGGTTGAAGTTCTCTTTGTCCACTATTCCTTTCTACTTAGAAAAAAAAGATTCTTGAGGGGCTGGAGAGATGACTCAGGGGTTAAGAGCACTGGATGCCCTTCCAGGGGTCCCGAGTTCAGTTCCCAGCAACCACATGGTGGCTCACAACCATCTGTCATGAGATCTGGCGCCCTCTTCTGGCCGGCAGGCACACATGCAGACAGAACTCCATATAAAATAAGTAAATCTTTTTTTTTTTTTTTTTTTTGGTTTTTCGAGACAGGGTTTCTCTGTGGCTTTGGAGGCTGTCCTGGAACTCACTTTGTAGACCAGGCTGGCCTCGAACTCACAGAGATCCACCTGCCTCTGCCTCCCGAGTGCTGGGATTAAAGGCGTGCGCCACCAATGCCCAGCTTAAAATAAGTAAATCTTAAAGAAAGGATGAGCTTTCTTCTTTTTCCTTGTGGTTTTTTTTTTTTGAGACAGGGTTTCTCTGTGTATCAGCCCTGGCCTGGATCTCCCTCTGTAGACCAGGCTGGTCTGGATCTCAGAGATCTGCCACCACCAGCTGACTTCTCTTGAGTCATGAAAAAAAATGTTTTTAAACAATTATTTATCTCGAGTGTGTGGAGAGAGGAAGGGAGGGTAGGAGGGAGGAAGACACACACAGAGAACTGTGTGTGCGTTCCTGTGGCACAGGCATGCCACAGTGAGGAGAACTCTCCACCCACCAGGCGAGTCCTGGGAACAACACTCAGGTCGTGAGCTCTTGGGCTGAGCCACGGACCCCGACAGGAAACTCTTAAGCACTTCCTCTTGGACGGTGTGGTGGTGGCTGCTGCGCCCGCGTTTCATCCCAGCCCTCAGGACGCAGAGGCAGGAGGATCTCTGAGGCCAGTCTGGTCTGCACAGTGACTCTCAGAACAGTCAGAGCTACACAGTGAGACCACGTAGGAAGAATTTTCATCTGACAATGCCTCGACTTAGCTTTCATTTCTGAAGGATATATGGCTGGGTGTTTTCTTAGTTAACATTCCTTCCCCCTTTCCATTTTTTCTTCCTTCCTTTCTTCCTTTTTTTTTTTAAGATTATTTATTTATTTATTTATTACACATACAGTGTTCTGCCAGAAGAGGGCACCAGATTGAATTGTAGATGGTTGTGAGCCACCATGTGGTTGCTGGGAATTGAACTCAGGACTTCTGGAAGAGCACCCAGTGCTCTTAACCTCTGAGCCATCTCTCCAACCCTCTTTTATTTATTTATTTATTTATTTATTTATTTATTTATTGTGTATGCACCCTTCTGCCTGCATGCCAGCAGAGGGCACCAGATCTCATTCAAGGTGGTTGTGAGCCACCATGTGGTTGCCGGGAATTGAACTCAGGACCTTTGGAAAAACGGTCAGTGCTCTTAACCACTGATCCATCTCTCCAGCCCCCTTTTTTTCCCTTCCTTCCTTCCTTCCTTCCTTCCTTCCTTTCTTTCTTTCTTTCTTTCTTTCTTCCGACTGGTCTCGCTGTGTTGTCCCAGCCTGGCCTCGATCTCACAGACCAGTCTGACTTCACGGTTACAGTGCTGCTGCCTCCTGCCCCTGCCTCTGGGAGCCTGGGCTGTGGGGCATCACACCATGGGGAAGATACTTTACTGCACAAACTGTTGGGTCACTTTCTTCTGGCCCCAGGGTTTCTTCTTTCTCAGCATTTAAAAAATTATTTTATTTAATGTGTGCACAGTGTGCTTGGCCTCTGTGTGTGTGTGGGGGGGTGTCAGGGTCTCTGGAATTGGAGTGGGTGCTGGGAATTGAACGTCTGTCTTCTGGAAGCGCATCCGGCACTGGGCCACCTCTCCAGCCCCGCCTCCAGGGTTTTGATGAGAAAGCAGTCGTGGCCGGTGCTTTCCCGCCACAGCTTAGACCTCATTTGTCCCTTGCCGCCCTCAAGCGTTTCCCCTTTGGGAGGTGACATCCCCTCTCCACCCAGGGGCCCCGCCGGCAGCGTGTCCTGGGATGCTGTGCGAGCGTGCGCCCCACCTCCGTTTCAGCTCGCATGCCAACACCATCTCAGACTGCTGCTTCAACTCCAGCGGCCATTTCCTGTGTACCAGCTCCTGGGATAAAAGCATCAAAATATGGAATATCCACACGGGGGAGTTTCGAAACCGCGGAGCCTGTGCGACGCTGATGAAGGGCCACGAGGGCTGTGTGAGTTCCTGCTGCATCACTAGAGACAGTGAGTGGCCAGCACCCCTGCCCCGCCCCTCTCTCCTCCTCTCCTTCCCCTTCCCTGCTCTCCCTTCCTCGGGTGTTGCATCCTGAGGGTTGGAAGTGTTGCCACACGGTGAAGCCGGAAGACAGACAGAACTCAGCTGGGTCCTTCCTGGCCCATTGGTGGGGACTTTTTACCCACCCGGGGCAGAAAAGTGGGGACTCCCCCACGATTCTTGCAGGGAGGGTGGTGCCTCACCCCGTCCCAAGCGCCCCACGCCGAGAGAGGAATTCGTGGACACGTTTCCAGTGGCAGGAACCCCAGTTCAAAGTTGGAACCCTTTTTTTTTTTTTTTTTTTGAGTACGCGCAAGATAGTATTCCGATTGCCAAAGTGTGCTTGGTCTTTAGATAATCTGCCGGTTCAAGTGCAGTTATCCGACTCTCGGGCAAGGCCAGCCGAATTCCAGTCTTTTTTTTTTTTTTAAGGGGGGGGCTGCAGGATTCTGCGTTTTGATAGCTCCCCCGTCCGGGTGTATGTAAATAACAAGCAGCACTGCCTTAGAGGAACGCTGGTCAACTCTGAGTACCGAATGTCCTCGGTGGGGAGGACACTCCTACCCCGGTCTTGCCCATCCGTGTTCCTCTTCCGGGCCCCTCCGGTTTCTCCTTTACCCGGGTTTCCACTCCAGGAGGCGAGGGTGGCCTCGTGTTTCCCAGTCACTCTGGTTCTGGCCACTAACGGGCATCCCTCAAAGGAGAGAGAAAAAAAAAGTGAATTTCTGCCTGCCGGCGTCAGCTCCGAATCCCGGGGAAGGCTCCCATTGGCTCAGCTTGGGGACACACCCATCTCTGAGCATTACAAAGCAGACGATGACAGGCTCGGATTGGCCAGAAAATTGGGAGCCTTGTTTGCGCCCGGAGTTAAGAGGTGCGGGTTGGGAGCCTCCAAACCAGAGGTACTGAGGGCAAATGGGGAACCTTTCCTTACAGGAAGTTGGGGGTGCTGCTGCCAGGAGAAGGGGACCAATGACAGGGAGCCTTCTTGGGTAATGAAGGCACAGCTAGGGCCTGTTGAGGCAAGTGGCTGTTCAGGAATGCCCACTTTTCAGCAGGATGGTGTGTGTGCGTGCGTGCGTTCGTGCGTGCGTGCGTGTGTGTGTGTGTGTGTGCATGTGTGCGTGTGCATGCGTGTGCATGTGCATGCATATTACATTTTTTAAATTATTTAAATGTAGAGGCTGGCGTTGGTGGCACACGCCTTTAGTCCCAGCACTTAGGAGGCAGAGGCAGTCAGATCTCTGAGTTTTAGGTCAGCCTGGTCTACAAAGCTAATTTCCAGGACAGCCAGGGCTCCATAGACAAACCCTGTCTGGAAAAGCAAACAAACGAACCAACAAAATTATGTGCGTGTGTGTTTGTGCATGTATGTTTGTGCATGTGTGTACAGTGCCTATGGAGGCCAGGGATATCAGGCCCCCTGGGGCTGGAGTCACAGACAGTTATGAGCTGCCTGACGTGGGTGCTGGGAACCAAACCCAGGTCCTCTGGCAAGAGCAGTGTGCGCTCTTAACCACCGAGCGGTTCCCTCCAGCTCCATACGCAGGCACTTCTGTAGATATTTTTACTGTTTTAAACTCAAACCGAGTCGTGAAATGCTGTTAAACACCTCTGAGGGGCAGGAACTGCTTCATGGAGAAGACACACAGCACACTTGAGTTGCACCGAGGCTTGAGACAGCGATACTGGCCCAGTTCCACACTGGCAACCAACAATACACGCTAATAGGATGTCTTTATCAGAAATGCACGTATCGACTGGTTAATTTATGAGAACACTGTGATTAGAGACTGGGGTTTTTGTTGTCATTGTGCTTTCCATTTTTCATGTGTGTGTGGATGGGCACACGTGCCTCTGTGTGTGTGTGTGTGTGTGTGTGTGTGTGTGCCTGAAGTCTCCATCGCTCTCTTTTCTCCTTCATTGAGACGGGGCCTCTCAGTCAAGCCCAGAGCTCTCAGACTAGGTTAATTTCGTCCTGTCTTCATCTTCTGGGTCTGGAATCACAGGTGGGTTGATGTGTTTGCCTGGCTTTTATGTGGGTTTCTGGAGATTCTAACTCCAGGCTTGGGTGGCAAGTGTTTCAACCACAGGGCCATCTCCCCACCTCCCTGTTTTTTTTGTTTGCTTGCTTGTTTTTGTTTTTTTCCCCTCCCCCTTGGGTTTTGATTTATTTGCTTTTAAAATAAGGTCTTGGGGCAATTGAGATGGCTTAGTGGGGAAAGTTACTTATTGCCAAATCTGGTGACCTGAGTTCAATCCCTGGGCGCCGTATGGTGAAAGAGGGAAGGAGTCTCAAAAATTGTCTTTAGGTACTGTGCAAACGCATGTGTATGAACACACCAAACACACACACACACACACACATACACACATACACACTACATACATACCACACACACACCAGTCACAAATGTAATAATTAACAAAAGAAGCCCTGTTCCGGGCTGGAGAGATGGCTCAGTGGCTAAGAGAGCATTGACTGCAATTCCAGAGGTCCTGAGTTCAACTCCCAGCAACCACAGGGCGGCTTACAACTATCTGTAATGAGATCTAGCGCCCTCTTCTGTCATGCAAGGATACATGCAGGCAGAACGCATAATAAATAAATCGGCCGGGTGGAAGGAAACTCTGCGTCCATCCCTCCTTTTGTATTGCAGGCTCTCTGCTCATTTCTGGTGGTTTTGACAAGTCTGTGGCTATTTGGGACGTGGCAGATGGCTACCGGAAGTTGTCGTTGAAGGTACAAGCGCCCACACAGCATAACGAATCCAAACTTTCTTTTTTTGGGGGGAGAGGTGCGGAAGGGGAAGAGTAGGACCCAGGGTAACCTCGGATTCATGCTGTTTCTGTTTCAGCCTCCCTAGTGCTGGGATTATGGGTGTGGCCTGCCATTCCTGGTGGCGTTGGCGCCTGTCACTGAGGCTAAGACAGACTTAGACACACCTCCTAGGTGCCCTGACATCTTCGTGCAGATTAGCCACCAGCGGTGATGAGGGGTAGAGAGTAATGGCAGAAAGGGACCTGGGGGCCTAACCTGCGGTGGGCGGGCTACACAGAGGAGGCTCACCGCTTGAGATGTGATGGCAGCGGAGAGACCTCGGGGAAGGCACCCGGTGGGTAGGGAAGGACCCGAGACCGCGTGAGGACTTGCCACAGCCGCAGGGCCTCTGCCTCCAGCAGAGGAGGCCTGAACCCAGCGGTCTCCGAAGTTAGCAGCAGGGCCTTCCCCAACACAGCAAGAATTTAGGGCTGGAGCCCCGTGCCCGTGGTACGGTCTCTCGGTCACCTTTGGCGACTGTTGACCTCTGAGTCCCTCAGGGACCCCATGTCTGCATCCTTTCGAGTAGCCCACATCCGTCCCGCCCCATCCCATTCGCCCGCCCGAGCGAGGCTGCTCCATCTAAGCAGAGCTCCAGGGAATGCCAGGGCAAAGGGGGTTCACCCGGAATGCTTGCCCCGCGGTGCGTTTTAAAATCCCTCTGTCCCCTCTTGCATTGCTCCAGGCTCTCTCTCTCTCTCTGTCTCTCTCTCTCTCTCTCTCTCTGTCTCTCTCTCTCTCTCTCTCTCTCTGTCTCTCTCTGTCTCTGTCTCTCTGTCTCTCTCTCTGTCTCTCTCTCTGTCTCTCTCTGTCTCTGTCTGTCTCTGTCTCTCTCTGTCTCTGTCTCTGTCTCTCTCTGTCTCTGTCTCTCTGTCTCTCTCTCTGTCTCTCTCTCTCTCTCTCTCTGCTTTCTGTCCCCCCCCCCACTTTTATGGAGAACGAGGCAGGCGGCTTGCTGACCCTTTGTTCTTATAAAGCATTTCTCCTAGGTCTTTGTTGAATCATTTTGTTTTGTTTTCTTTTGTTCAGGGCCACGATGCCTGGGTGACGGATGTGGCCGTTAGCAGCAACAAGAAATGGATCCTCTCTGCTTCAAAGGTAAAAGCAAGCAAGCTTTGGCAGACTTAAAATCTTTGCCGTGGCCGGGCGTTGGTGGCGCACGCCTTTAATCCCAGCACTCGGGAGGCAGAGGCAGGTGGATCTCTGTGAGTTCGAGGCCAGCCTGGTCTACAGAGTGAGTTCCAGGACAGCCTCCAAAGCTACAGAGAAACCCTGTCTCAAAAAAAAAAAAAATCTTTGCCGTATTTGTCGGGACCTGAGATAGGAAGGGGGTCCTCCCAAGTGTGTGTCTCCGGGTCATCCCGGCTTGGGTTTGCCTGCCTCTAATCCCAGCCAGCATTCAGGAGGCTGAGGCGAGGCAAGGGGAGGGAGGGCCGTTGAGATGGTTCCACCAAACTTGACGGCCTGGGAAAGAAAGAACAGACTCCTACAAGTTGTCCTCTGACCACGATCCATGTGTTGAAGCACGCTTTTGCCCCTAGCCTCCAACAAATAAATGAATAAAAGTGGGTTTTTTTGTTTGTTTGTTTCTTTTGTTTTTTTTTTTTTCCAGACAGGGTTTTTCTGGCCTAGAGTTCAGAGACACTCCCTGCACCCCCAGTACTGGGATTAAAAGGTCTGCATTACCATTCATGGCTCACATAAAAAAAATGAAAACACACTCTCGCGCTCACACACACATACCCCAAAAGGCAAAAATTGTTCCTGGGCAAGCCCAGTATATCTGTACCCAGGAGCCGCCCAGGAGTATGGTGGCCCGTCCCTTCCATCTGTGACTCTGGGGTTTGCCACGTGGATCTGGTCTGTCCCGTCCGTGTAACAAACAACAGGACTATTTGAACAAACACTTTTTTTTTTTTGGTTTTTTTTCGAGACAGGGTTTCTCTGTGGCTTTGGAAGCTGTCCTGGAACTTACTTTGTAGACCAGGCTGGCCTCGAACTCACAGAGATCCACCTGCCTCTGCCTCCCGAGTGCTGGGATTAAAGGCGTGCACCACCAACGCCCGGCCTTGAACAAACACTTTTAAGAAAAGTATGAAAATACTTTGATATAATAATACCCTTATTATAATATTACATATTATAATATTATATATTACATACTATATTGTCATATTACATAATATAGCAATAGAATAATTATTATATAATGATATATTATACAATATATTTTGGTATGTATTGCATATTAAATATGATAGGTTATATTCCAATATATACATTATAATGAATATTACATTATGTATTATATGTTAGATTAGTAAATATCCAATAAAGATACTGTGTTTATATATGCACATTATATAACACATATCATGCAGTGCACGGATAAAATTATAATATTTTATTGTGTATTTAATTTTTGTAGGATATATTATTATATATTCTTGCTTGATTGTTTGAGACAGGGTCTTGCCATATAGTCTAGGCTGGCCTTGAACTCATGATCCTCCTCCCTCTGCCTCCCAAGTGCTGTATTATAGATGTCCCCACCGTACCCAGCCACTGTTGTATGTTTAAGATACAGAGATATATGATTATTTTATGAAGAGAACATAAACACAGTCACTGAACAGAGACAGCTTACATTCCTTCCCTTTCCTAAAGAGTGGCCACCCGGGGTGGTGCACATCTGTAACCCCAGCTCCCAGAGTGTTGTACAGGTTCGATAGATCCCCATCAAAATTCCAATAGCTCCCCCAACCCTCCAAAATGGCAACGCTAGTCTTCAAGTCCGTAGGAATCCATAGGTTCTTTGGGTATCCAAAACAATCTTGAACGATAATAGCCACAGTGATTTTATTGGTGGACTCATACCCTCCCAACTTCAAACTTAACCAAATTAATAATAATTAACACGACGAGCCGGGCGTTGGTGGCGCACGCCTTTAATCCCAGCACTCGGGAGGCAGAGGCAGGCGGGTCTCTGTGAGTTCGAGGCCAGCCTGGTCTACAGAGCTAGTTCCAGGACAGTCTCCAAAACAATACAGAGAAACCCTGTCTCGAAAAACCAAAAAATAAATAAATAAGTAAATAATGAACACGACGATAAGTGGCGTCAGGGCAGACAGGTGTTCGGCGGGACAGATCAGTGAATGGATCAGTAGGCCATGACTTATTTGATGTTGTGATTTTGTCCCACAACTGCCCAGTGGCGAAGGGACAAGCTTCACACACACAGCATTAGGGAAACCAGGCGGTTACATGCAGATGAATGAAGCCGGCCCCTTGCCTTAAACCATACAAGGCTGTCCCTCCATAGCCGTGGGTTTCAGCCCACAGATTCAGCCAACCTTGATGGAAAATACTAAAAGAAAACCTCATCGGCACAGCGGCGCACACCTTTAATCCCACATTCAGGTGGCAAAGACTGGTGGGTCTCTGTGAGTTCAAGGACAGCCTGGCCTACATAGAAAAACACTGCCTTAAAAAAAATCCGGTGGGGGGAGGGCACGGGAGGAGGGGAGGGAAAGGGAGAGGGACCTGGAACTGACTTGTGAAGCAACCTTGTTTCTTATCTAAATTTAAACTGAAAAAAAAAAAATCCGGAGTGCTGGGATCACAGGTGCGCACCACTGCCTGGGTCCGGCCTGTATCAGTCCTAGGCTACAGGGGTCATCCATCCTGGACTGATGTCTTCAGGGCTGTGTTCAGAACCAGCCGAACAACCCTGGGTCTGACCCTGAGTTGGGGAGTGTGGATCAGGGAAGTCCTAGCTACCCAGTGACGTTAAGAATGAATCAGAAACATCTTGTCATTTCATGAGGGCTCTCAGTCCATACTGGAGACACCAGCTTATTCAAGCATCCTCTTAAATAACTTTCTAAAAGCAGGGGTACCGGCAGAAGACATCTATTATCATGTATATAGGGCTGACTGGGAAACACTTCCTTTAGCCCTAGAGATGGTTCTAGAAAGCACGTACACAAGTCCTCAGACTTTCTGTAAATGGCAGTGTTCTGGCATGTCTTACTGGTCCCTAGGCACATCTGTCTAGTCCTCAGGATGGGTGTGGGTCCACCCAGGGCCAGGTCTATTGTTACACAAACTAGAAGCCATTCTCCATTGTGGCCAGACCATCCGGAGGTAACCAGCCGACATCTAAAAGACTATAGGAGATTGGAACTCCCGGAATTGAGCTGAAGCCTATACCTGAAATATCATTTTGGGGCCCCGACACACCACCACTACACACACACACACACACACACACACACACACACACACACCCTAAACATAGCTGTATCTATACTGGACACACACAGACCTTGTTTCCCTTGTCCTTATCTCTTAAACAAGAGTATAGCTGGGCGTTGGTGGCACATGCCTTTAATCCCAGCACTCGGGAGGCAGAGGCAGGCGGATCTCTGTGAGTTCGAGGCCAGCCTGGTATACAGAGCGAGTTCCAGGGCAGCCTCCAAAACAACACAGAGAAACACTGTCTTTAAAAAACCAAAACAAACAAACAGAGTCTAATATTCGTTTGCAATCTCGCAGGCATTATATACAACCGAGAGATGATTTTAAAGATATAGGAGTGTGGATGTAAATTATATGCAAATACTATACCACTTTATGTAGGGACTTGGGCATCTTCTGATGTTTGTGTCCTTTACTGTGGAAGGTCTGGGAACGATTCCTCGTGGACACGGAGGGACCACTGTACAAAATAAAATGTATCCAAGACCTAGACTTATGAACTACATTTTTTTAAATTATGAAGGCAATGTTGTCGAGAAGCTTCGTGACTCTGAGTTTGCAGGAGTGTAGCAACAAAAGGGAAACGGGGGGGGGGGGGGGCCGGGGCTGGAGAGATGGCTCAGTGGCTAAGAGCACTGGCTGCTCTTCTGGAGGCCCCGAGTTCAATTCCCAGCACCCACACGGTGGCTCACAACCACCTGCAGCTCCAGCCAGTTCCAGGGGAATATAAACTCACACACACATTCCCATAAGAATAACTAAGATACTTAAAGCAAGGAAACAGTTAAGCATAGAAAAGTTGGATTTCATTATATGCCAAAAAGGCCAGGCACAGTGGGACACACTTGGAATCCCAGAACCTGGGAAGACCAGAAACCTACCACAAGCCAACATTTAGACATCCTTTCAAAGGCCAAAAATGGTAACCAGATTTAGACGCGTGTTCAGGGAAGACGTCCCCTTCCACGTCTACAGTAAAATTCATCAAGGCACCGGAGAGATGAGTGAGTCAATACAAAGCAATTGCTTCCAAGTCTGAGGGCTCAGGTTCAGATCCCAGAGCACATACTGAAAAAGCAGGGTGCTGTGTCTGCAACCCCAGCTCTGGGATGGGAGAGAGGCGGGGGGGCCCCCTCCCCCCACCCCCCAGCCGCAAAGTTTACAGAACAAGTGCAATTTGCCAAAGTGGGCATTTGCACTGTGCATCCGATGTGCGGGAAAGTTGGAAAAGTGTGATTTGAAGCTGAAAGTGCAGGCGCACCCCTTTGATCTCAGCACTCGGGAGGCAGAGGCAGGCAGATCTCTGCGAGTTCAAAGTCAGCCTGGTCTGCAGAGCGAGTTCCAGAACAGCCAGGCTTACACAGAGAAACCCTGTCTGGAAAAACAAAACAAAAACAAAAACAAAACCAAAAAAAAAAACAAAACAAACAAACAATGACAAGAAGAGGAAAATCTGGGTTGAATTTAGGTAGTTACCAGCAAGGTTTTGCTTTGTGTTTTCCTGCATTTTTTTGTTAAAATCTTCACAGGAAGCCAGAAAAGGATTTGAAACTCCAGCGTTGGAATCAAAGTATCTAAACATTGAAGGATTGACTTGTGTGTGTGTGTGTGTGTGTATACATATATATATGTATATATATATATGATATTATTATATATATAATTTATGTATGAGCCGGGCGTTGGTGGTGCATGCCTTTAATCCCAGCACTCGGGAGGCAGAGGCAGGCGGATCTCTGTGAGTTCGAGACCAGCCTGGTCTACAAAGTGAGTTCCAGGACAGCCTCCAAAGCCACAGAGAAACCCTGTCTAGAAAAAAACCAAAAAAAAAAAAACCCAAAATAATTTATGTGTGTATGTGTGTGTGTGTGTGTGTGTACGCGCGTGCATGCACGTACCCCCAGATTCCAGAAAGGGGAGTTTGGGGGGTTGTGAGCTGCTCCATGTGGGTGCTGGGAAGCAAACCCCAGTTGTTTGCAAGACTCGTCAGTGCTCCTGACCACTGAGCCATCCCTCCAGCCGAGTCGCTGTTGTTTTGCTTTGTTTTCTGAGAGGGTGTCGCCGTGGGATCCCGCAGCCTGGACTGGCCATGTCGCCAGGACTGGACAAACTTCTCGGTGCCCTTTAGAAACTCGCTGCCGGTAAACCCGTGGCTTCTCCCGTGCAGGGGCCACTGTAGCTGCTCTCCAAATCTCAGCTTTTGTGTCTCCACAAGACATGTCGTTCCTACTGCTTAACTAGGGGATAGAACGCAACACACGCCATACGGGATTTTTATTGCCGCTTTGATAGATGAACACGGTGTACAACATGGACTCAGTACCGTATAATTCCAAAGGATGGCAGTCCTACAGAGTGAGTCTCACTGAGGTGAACTCAAGAAAACCGGAATTAACTTTTTTAAGGTTTATTTATTTATTACAAACACACTGTTCTGCCTACATGCCAGAAGAGGGCACCACATTGAATTGTAGATGGCTGTGAGCCACCATGTGGTTGCTGGGAATTGAACTCAGGACCTCTGGAAGAGCAGTCAGTGCTCTTAACCTCTGAGCCATCTCTCCAGCCCCTGGAATTAACTTTTAAAAATTTATCATCTATTGAAGGGGAGGGTGTCAGAGGAGTATCCAATCACCTGGAGCTGGAGTTACAGGCAGCGCACCCTGTTGTGGGTGCTGGGATTGAACTCAGGTCCTCTGCAAGAACAACACGTGCTCTTAACCACTGATCCAGAGCTCACTGTACTGTGTCCTCTGCCCCCCCAGGCTTGCCTTAACTCAGTCAGACTTGTTAAGTCTCCCTCCTCAGCCCCCCGAGTCTGGGATCAGCGTGCACCACCCTGGCTTGCTGCTGCTGTTTCTTGTGTTTTACATTCTGTGAGTTTAGTCAAATACACACCATCCTTACAGTAGCCTATAGAACTATAGAATGTTTGACTGCCTGTAAAATACCTCACGCCCTGCTTATTCAGCCCCCGTGGTCCCCAGAATTCCTGCCAGCCACTGTTTAATTGTCTCTTATCACACACACACACCCCAAACAACATACCACACAAAACACACACATATCACACATCACAAGAACACACACTATGCACACTGCATGCAACACACACATGTGCAACATGCAACACTCACAACACATATCACACATCAGACACAACACACGTGTATAACATCACACAGAGCACACATGTATAACGAATCACATAGAGCACACAGGACACATACCACACACACACACACACATACACACACATCACACAGAATGCACACTACACATGCTACACGCCACATAAACAACACACACAGAAATCCAACTCTCACCTCAAAGGTGATGATCCAGTTTTATGCTGGAGTCAAAACTTATGAGTGACCACCTGAGAGTCAGGTCACCCCACAAAGAAATGACAAAGAAAGTCATTTCCGAACGCGTTGGTGAAAGGTCACGGATGCCCGGGGAAGTCTCATCTCCTGGGCCTCAGGGACTGCCTTAGCCTTTTGGCTGGTAGAAGCCAGGGGTCTGTTTACGCATTCCAGAGGACGTGCTTCACACAGCCAAGTTAGAAGACCTCAGGAGATGGCCCCTGGCAATCTGGCTTCAGACTCACAACGTTCCAACCTCTCTACTGAGTCCTAAGCAGTTAATGAGCCTTGTGGAAGGCTTCGTCGTCTGAGTCCTAAGCAGTTAATGAGCCTTGCGGAAGGCTTCGTGGAAGGTGTGGTGGTTTTGTTTTGTTTTCCAGGAACTCCTGTTCATGCTCACCCTGTAAAATTGTTTTCCTAGAATGCTAGGTAGATGAAATTTACAGCCTGTAGCCTTTGCAGACTGGATGCCTTCTCTCCGCAACATGTTTTTTTTTTTTGCATTCTCCATCTCTGTCTTTTGCAGGGGGCAGCGAGCTTGACAGCTCATTTATTCTGAACACGGAATGCACAGCTGTACCACGGGTCCTTGTTTAGCCCAGGCTGGCCCTGAACTACTGATCCTCCTGCCTCAGCTCCCCAGGTGCTGGGATTACGGGCGAGGCGTGTGCGCCATCACGCATGTTTTTTTTGTTTGTTTGTTTGTTTGTTTTTTCCGAGACAGGGTTTCTCTGTGGCTTTTTTTTTGGAGGCTGTCCTGGAGCTCGCTTGGTAGTCCAGGTTGGTCTTGAACTCACAGAGATCCGCCTGCCTCTGCCTCCCGAGTGCTGGGATTAAAGGTGTGCGCCACCAACGCCCGGCCATCACGCATGTTTTTCACGAGCTGCTGGAGGCAGAGCTCAACCCACAGCCTCCATAGTGGTTTGTGTTTGTTTGTTTGTCTGTCTGTGTGACCCTGGCCTGCTGCTGTTTGTTCTAGGACAGCTCCATGAGACTGTGGAATATTGAAGAGATCGACAAAATCCCTTTGGTGACCGAGAACAGAAGGTTTATGGGCTGCAAAGTCAAGCAGGTTAGTATCAGGTAAAACTAAGCCCAGGGGAGACGTCCATGCACCTTCCACAAATCAGTTTTACCTTGAGCAAGCGTTCATTGGTCCCACAACCACAGACAGACCAATGGCCTTCCAGTCCCGTGGGTGCTTAAGTCTTAAACGGTGAGACACTTGTACAGACACAAGGAAAATACGTGCTTGCATGGTAAGCACTGATTTTTTTTTTTTTTTTTTGGTTTTTCGAGACAGGGTTTCTCTGTGGTTTTGGAGGCTGCCCTGGAACTAGCTCTTGTAGACTAGGCTGGCCTTGAACTCACAGGGATCCACCTGCCTCTGCCTCCCAAGTGCTGGGATTAAAGGCGTGCGCCACCAATGCCCGGCAGCACTGATTTTTTAAACAAGGACTCGCACGAGAGGGAAGAGGTTTGTGTTGGGGTATTTGGTTTTCTGAGACACGTTCTTGATATATACCCTAGGCTGGCCTGAAACTCTTGATTCCTTACTCTTCTAAGTGCTGGGTTATAAGTGTGTGCGCACACAGCTTATGATTTGTTTATCTATTGTGCCAGGGCTGGAGCCCAGGGCCTTTCACAGCATGGGTCCAGGCCAAGCATCCCACACCGAACTGCACTCCAGCCTCTGCTGTTTACTATTATTATTTTGAGATAGCATCCCACTGAGTAGCCCTGGCTGGCCTGTAACCGGCAATGTAGACTGGGCTGACCTTGAACTTGCAGAGATCCACCGGCCTCCATCTCCTGAGCTCTACCTGTGTGTGTGTGTGTGTGTGTGTGCATGTGCATGTGGGCTCTCTCTGTCTGTGTCTGTCTGTCTGTCTGTCTGTCTGTCTGTCTGTCTGTCTCTCTCTCTCGTGCACTGGAGTGCCGGGATCCCCCGAGAGGCCCGCCTCAGTCGCTGGCTTGATGGTGGGCAGCAAATGAGACAGGAGAGTACCCGTACCTGCCGGGCAGGCGGGTGTTTTGGCCAGAAGGAGACTCAGCGTGGAGGAGAATGCTCAGATCTCACACCGGCTGGTTGAAGTCCTGGTCTGGAGCTGAGCGAGGGGGGGCTCCCTCTTGTAAACCCAGTACTTAGGAGCTTGAGGCAGGAGGATCTCTAGCTGTTGGAGGCCAGCCTATGAGATTTAGTGAGGTGTTGTTTCAAAAAGCAAATAAACAAAAACCTAAGTAAGAAATAACTGGAGAGATAGCCTAGTGGCTTAGAGCACTGGCTGCTCCTACAGAGGACCCGGGTTTGATTCTCAGCACCCACAGGGTGACTCACGGCCGTTCATAACTCCGGCGTCAGGGGACCCGTTGCCCTTAACAAGCAAACAAATGGATAAAAGCCCTGCTTGGTTCAGAGATCTCGGATGTCAGCCAGGTGGCGAGGACCTATAACGTTTAGCTATTTAAAAGGCTGAGGCAGGAGGATTTATGCTTAAGACCTGCCTGAGATATATATGATATATACTGAGACCCTGTCTCAAAATTACACACACACACACACACACACACACACGGGGAATGTAGCTCCGTGGCCTAACTCGTATAAGGCACTGGGTTTAATTCCTCCTACTGAAAACCAAACAAAAACAAATACCTCCCTCCCTCCCTCCCTCCCTCCCTCCCTCCCTCCCTCCCTCCCTCCCTCCCCTTGCTTCCCTCTGACTCAGTGGTGCCAGCCAACACCCTCAGCATATCAAAGAGTCAGGCTACTCCTTGGGTCCCACTTGGGACCCCTCTGTCGTGCGAGCACTGGACAAGGGCCGGACGGCAACCCCGTCTCCCCGCTCCCAAGCATGTGGCTGCGTTGAGGACCAGCCCTCTCTACCCTCCTAGCTGCTTCAGGAGGGAGAAGGCTGGGCAGAAACCCGTGTGTCTGGTCTTGGGCTCCCAACCTGCTCTGGGCAGTTTGTGGGGTGGGAGGGCTTGCCTTGGCTCAGTCCGGGCTGGCTGGGTGGTGGGGTTCGGGATTCCTCTCTTCTAACCCGCACATGGTTTCTGTTTTTGGAAAATGTCTCCCCGACCCCCCACACGACCCCGCAGTGCAGAAATTGTGACCAGCTTTTCTCCGCCTTTGAAACCGACACCCCTTCGAAACTACCCAGCCAGTGTATGTTCTGCCGCAGAGAGGAGAGGAACGTAAGGCCTGCTTCTTCATCCTCGTCGCGGTCCACCGTCATTGAAGGAGAGTAAGGAGAGCCGGTGGCCGCTGGGCGCCTAAGGAGTTGGCTGCAGGAGCTCCTCAGGGACCAGCTCGGAGTGCCCGCCCAGCTGAGTGCACCTATCAAACCCGGGCAGGGGGCCAGGCCCCCACTAGACTCTCAGCACGGAGCTGCCTCTTAGACAACCCCCGCCCCCCAACCCTTTAAGGGTGAGCACGTTTAGTTTGAATGTAGAATAAATCTAGATTCCTTTGGGGAACAAGTGTGGGAGAACTGAGAAGCTTTGCATCCCAGGGTCCATCTCAGTTTGGGGCTAATATTCTGGAGTCTGGAGCTGCCCTGAAATGGGGCCTGGGAACTTGTTTGTCAAGTGGATAGGACGCGTGCCCCGCCCCTTCCCCCGTGGAGGAGGAGGACGGTAAGGCATTGTGGTTGCTTGGGTTTGGATATGGTTTCTCCCATCTGGGTTCAAGAGCTTAGGGCCTTGGTCCTCTGTGTAACGGCGGCGTCGAGGTGGGGTGGGGTGGTTCAGTGGGACTTGTCGGGGTGGTGGTTTCCTTGCTCCTCACGGGTATGGGTGTTTTAGCCTGTACGCATTGTACGTAGGTGCCTACATGTATTCAGTGCTCACAGAGGCCAAAAGACGGGGATCGAGTCCCTGGAGAAAAGTGACGGTGAGCTACGCCTTGTTGAGTGTTGGGGATTGAAAACCCGGGGTCCGGGCCGGGCGTTGGTGGCGCACGCCTTTAATCCCAGCACTCGGGAGGCAGAGGCAGGCGGATCTCTGTGAGTTCGAGGCCAGTGTGGTCTACAGAGCGAGTTCCAGGACAGTCTCCAAAGCCATAGAGAAACCCTGTCTCGAAAAACCAAAAAAAAAAAAAAAAAAAAAAAGAAAACCCGGGGTCCTCTTGCTAACCACCGGGCCAACCGCCCTCCAGCCCACCTCCGGATGGCTTTTTTTGGGGGGCTCTCCTTCATCACAGAAGCCACGGATAGTGTACTCATCACCAGACCCACACCGTCCCCAGTGGACGGGCATACATCTGTCCAAACTGCGGTAGGCCCGCGTTTCTGGGGCGCACTGCGTTCACTTGTGCGCGGACGAGTCTCCCATTGGTGCAAGACCAGAGGGACGCATCTCGGTCGTGCTCGGCTTGGCTGCCAGAGGCGAGGCTGGCGTGGAAACCCCAGAGTGACAGGGGGGTCGGGGAGTGGGTGGGGGAAGCCTGGGCGGCGAGGCCCTAGACTGGATCACGCAGAGGTGAGCGGGGAGCCCTCGGGCCGCCCAGAGCCCCGCTCAGGGATCCTCCGTCTGCCTCTGGCTCCAGGAGGAGAAGCCATCGTGGAGGATGGGCCGCAGGAACTTAAGCACCGTGCGGGCCACACCGGGGAGTCCCGGGGGTGTCTCTGGGGGGCGGTTGGTGGGGAGTCCGGGGTCGGGGGGACGACGACCCCGCCACTTGCCAGGACTCTCAGGACCCGCCGCCGAAGGTAGAGCGCAAAAAGCAAAAAATTGACCCGGGAACCAGGCCCGCCGCATCCAGCTCGCTCCGCGGCGGCGGATGACAAACTTCCAGGGCGTTCTTTCCGGCGCTCGCACAGCGAGGAAGCCGCAAGGCGCAGGCGCACCGCCTCCAGCTTCCCCGTAAATGCGCGCGCGTGCGCAAAGCAAAAAAAAAAAAACAACAATGAGGTCACTAGAAATGGGAACCGGTTGGGCGCGTTGCTCGGGCAGGCGGCGCCGTGGCTTAGTTGGTTAAAGCGCCTGTCTAGTAAACAGGAGATCCTGGGTTCGAATCCCAGCGGTGCCTCAGCCGGGTGGATGCACTCGTTTTGTTGTGGACCCAATTTTTTTTTACAAGGGTCCTGGCGCCTTGCAGAGATGCTGATTTCTCTCCTCTTGCAGCCGCGCTCCGCGTCCTGAGGACGGTGTGGCGAGGCCGAGCGAGTCCCAAAAGCGGACCCTGAAGCCTCCGAGCCGACCATTCCACCTGGGTCTGCAGAACGCATTTAAAAAAACAGACTGCGGGCCAGGAAGCTGGCCCCGTGCGGCTCGGTGCTGTAATGCTGAAAGACCCTTCAGTCTTTCACTCGGGACCCTCGCCCCAAAGACCACCAGGGAGCCGAAGCTCGTTGCAAAAACGCAAGAGGGTTTTTATGAAGCCGGGCGCGCCGCCGGGGTTCAGCAGCCTTGGGAAGGAGTGAACCCCCCGAGCAGAAATTACAAACGAGTTTTTAAAGCCTGAAACCGCAAACAGGATGGTGGGGGTGCGAGGGGGGTTTGGTAGTCGGTACCAGACCTTCATGCAAACACCCGCACGCTTGCGGCTGGCTCGTTATCTGTCTCAGGCAACGTCTGCGCCCTGGCTGAATTTTGTGACCGGCCTGGAACCTTGAGGTCTGGGGAGTGTTCACAAGTCCTTGAGGACTGAGGTCCGGGGAAGGGGAATATTTTCAAGTCCCTTGAGGACCATCAGGGGAGGATGTCTACGACCTTTTTCTTTTTCATTTTCCTTTATTATTTTATTCCTCTAGTATGTTTTCCATAAGAAGTAGGAATACTGCAAATAGTTTTAGGACTTGGAGTTAGACAGGATTCCTAATGGAATCAAAATTAGTCTCTCTCTCTCTTTTTTTTTTGTAAAAGAGACTTTTTTTTTTTTTTTTTTTTTTTTTTTGGATGGCTACGATCTTTAAGTGCAGCTGCTCGCGTCCGGGGACGGGACAGCTTAGTAATTCTTTTCAACCACGATGGGGGTGGGGGCTAACTCTTGGGGCTCTTCAGTGTGAGGCTTGCCCCCAGGATACCACAGGCACGTGGGACCTCTTGACGAGCCTTGGCGACCAACGCTTTTGGATGGAGGGTGGGGGAGACTTTGAAAGCTTAAAGATAAAAAAATTCCCTAAATTTTACCCAACAAACCCCAGCTTGAGAGCTCCCCCCCCCTGCGTACTTTGTGACATGAGGCGGGGTCTCCCAAACGCAGATACTCTCTGATCCACGCACGATTGAGGTTCCAACCCGATAGATCATTTTAAATCGTCCTAAGGGCGGTTCAGTGGATAAAGAGGCCTTTGCAGCCAACCCCGATGCCCTGAATTCAGTCCCTGGGTCTAGCAGGGTGGAAGGTGAGACCTGGCCCCCTGAGAATTGTCTTCTGGCCCGTGGGTCCGCATGCTCTCGATAAATGAATACAATAGGGGGAAAAATGTCTTAAGCTGAAAAGCGACAAAGCAGTTGCGTTAACCCACACGGCGGGGGTGAGCGCATGGACTTTTGCTTAGATAGGGCAGCTTGTGAAAACACACAATGCCCAGAAAAATCTCTCTCTCTCTCTCTCTCCCCAGTCTCTCTCTCTCCCCAGTCTCTCTCTCCAGTCTCTCTCTCTCCCCAGTCTCTCTCTCTCTCCCCAGTCTCTCTCTCTCTCTCTCTCCAGTCTCTCTCTCCCCAGTCTCTCTCTCTCTCTCTCTCTCTCTCTCTCTCTCTCTCTCTCTCTCTCTCTCTCTCTCCGTCTCTCTCTCTCCCCAGTCTCTCTCTCTCTCCCCAGTCTCTCTCTCTCTCCCCAGTCTCTCTCTCTCTCCCCAGTCTCTCTCTCTCTCTCTCTCTCTCTCTCTCTCTCTCTCTCTCTCTCTCTCTCTCTCTCTCTCTCTCTCTCTCTCTCTCTCTCGGGAAAAGACTAAAATTTAAGACACCGGTTTCTACTTGACCACCGTGGTCGGGCTGACAAACACTGAGCTGAACTATTGTATTGTGAGCTGGGGTGAACAGGAAAATTCTCTTGCCTCGGAGGCAGTGCTTTCTGCTTCTCCTATAGGTCTGTGTTTACTGTGTAATTTTGTTTTTGTTTGTTTGTTCCTTTAAAACTTCCTTGTTTCGACCGGCGTTGCCAAGGAACCTGCAGGGGATGTCTCCACACTTCGCAGAGCTAGCACAGACATTTAGCTGACTCTGATTACGGGAAACCCTTGAGTCTTTTTGGGACTGACTGGGCTCTAGCTCATTTATTGGGTCTCGGGGTCTGGAGTGTTCGCCTGTTGGATGCTGTTACGATATGAATATGGAATTTGGAATGCCTGTCACAGGAATCATGTGATCAGCGTGGTCCAAGCCCGTGGTGCTGTTTGGGAGGCTGTAGAGACCTTGGGAGGTGAGGCCCAACAGAAGGGAGTGGGGGTGGGGGGTGCTGGCAATTCCTTGGCAGCTAACTCATCCTGATCTCTCTTCCTCCCATCGTCCCCTCCCCTCTCCCGCTCAACCATGGACTGAAATGGCTGAAACTGTGTTCTTGATCCCGTTTTTTAAGTAATGGCAGGTGTGTTTCTACAGTAGTGAAAAGCTAACTAAAGCTAACTAATGGTAGCTGGCTCATGAGTCTGGGGCTTGGCGGGGCTCAGCTCTTAAAGAAAAGCATTTGTGGGGGCTGGAGAGGTGGCTCAGTGGTTAAGAGCCCTGGCTGCTCTTCCAGAGGTCCTGAGTTCAATTCCCAGCAACCACATGGTGGCTCACAGCCATCAGTAATGAGCTCTGTCTGGCGCCCTCGTCTGGTGTGCAGGCTTACATGCAGACTGAATGAATAAGTAGATCTTTAAAAAAAAGAAAGAAAAGCATTTGTGAATGACAGCTACAACGTGTCCTGATAACTGGAAAGCCGTCTGATTGGGTGAGCATCTCCAAGCAGTAAGCAAAGCCAGAAAACAGGCCCGTGTTAACCAACCTTGTTTCTGTTCCTTTAAAACTGCTGAGGTGTGCCGGGCGCTGGCGACACACACCTTTAACCCCAGCACTCGGGAGGCAGAGGCAGGAGGATCTCTGTGAGTTCGAGACCAGCCTGGTCTACAGAGAAAGTTCCAGGACAGCCTCCAAAGCAATACGGAGAAACCCTGTCTCCAAAAACCAAACCAAAACCAAAACCAATACCAAACCAAACCAAACCACTGCTGAGGTGCTCGCATTTAGTGTGGAGGGGGTTTGCACAGCTGTTCCCGGGGTCCTGGGTGGGACAAGTCCACGCCGACAGTGAGCCTTCAGTCAGTGTGGCATCTCTTTGGGAGAGCTCCTGTCACCGTCCTTAGCCTCTCCCACTCTCCCAGGCTGCCCACGCGGCCACTTGCTTAGTCTTTTTTTTTTTTTTTTTTTTTTTTTTTGGTTTTTCGAGACAGGGTTTCTCTGTGGCTTTGGAGGCTGTCCTGGAACTCACTCTGTAGACCAGGCTGGTCTCAAACTCACAGAGATCCGCCTGCCTCTGCCTCCCGAGT